TTACCCAGAGGCGAAGGCATCAGCCTATTAAAGACACTTAAGGTCTTTGCTCCGCCCCTAGTGTGGCCCTCACCATAGAAGTCTGCTGCAGGGTGCAGAGTGAGGTTGAGGCCCCCAGCCCCCACCTCTGCAGAGAGTTTTCAGGCAGTTCTGCCCTAGTTAGGCTCACTGGCTTCTGGCCTGGGGAAGGATAGGACTGCCTTCCTTACTGGTTACATGGCTAAGATCTTTATATAAGACCCTTCCAGGGCCAGGATGTTCTTTCCAGGGTAGAGGCTACTCAAAGGAAACTATTATAAAACAATAGCGTCTTGGCCAGGCATGGTGGCTCACGCCTGTAATCCCAGCACTTTGGGAGGCCAAGGCAGGCAGATCACTTGAGGTCAGGAGTTCAAAAACAGCCTCACCAACATGGTGAAACCCTGTCTCTACTAAAAATACAAAAATTAGCCAGGCATGGTGGCACACACCTGTAATCCTAGCTACTCGGGAGGCTAAGGTGGGAGAATCTTTTGAACCCAGGAGGCGGAGGATGCAGTGAGCCAAGATCATGCCACTGCACTCCAGCCTGGGCAACAGAGCAAGACTTCCTCTCAAAAAAAAAAAAAACCCCACAGCCTCTTATATTGGTTCAGCAATGTACAGTTTACAAGGTACTTTCAGATCTAGCTTGTCACTTAAGTGTGGGACAGTCCTCTAAGGTAGGCAGGTCAGGTGACTTATTGAGGAGCCTGAGGGAGAGAGGTGGTCATAGGTGAGCACATGCTGAGTTAGGACTTAAACCCAGCTCTGGCCAAATGCTCCCAGGCCAAGGTGTGGACAGGCCTGGGAACTGCCTGCAGAAGTTACCCAGGAAAGTACAGGGCCACCTTCACCCAGCAGGATGCAGCCCTCCCCACATCCAAAGTTACCCAAATAAAAACCTCAGTAAAGAACCCATCCCTGGGCCTGCCCCTCTCAGGTTCAACAGCTGCCTCTTTCTTCTTCTCCACTGAGACTTAACCTATCTCTGGCCCACTGTAAAACAGCTGGTTGATATGATCATATAAATCCTAAATAGGCCCAGGCTCAGTAGCTCATGCCTGTAATCCCAGCACTTTGGGAGGCCAAGGTGGGCTGATCACCTGAGGTCAGGAGTTGAAGACCAGCCTGGCCGACACGGTGAACCCTGTCTTTACTAAACATACAAAAAAAAAAAAAGATAGCCAGGCATGGTGGCACATACCTATAGTCTCAGCTACTCGGGAGGCTGAGACAGGAGAATCACTTGAACCCAGGAGGTGGAAGCTGCAGCAAGCCGAGGTCATGCCATTGCATTCCAGCCTGGTTGACAAGAGTGAGACTCTGTCTCAAAAATCAATAAGAATAATAATAAATAACCTGGTGAAATCCTTGGAGCTGGCCACTGAGAGAGAGTTCCTCCATCGCATCCCCACTTTTTCTCCATCTCCCAGTCCCTGCCCTACAGTTCTTCTTCCCTACTAGGTATGTTGCCCTCCTGCTCAAGACTCTTCAATGGCTCCCCGGTTCCTTCCTGAGTCAGCTCCACTCCACTGATCCGCATCTGAGGTCTACCCGACCCCATCCCAGCATTCCCTGTGGCACCAACAACTGGCTTCCTCCACACTTCATTTCCCTCCAAGAAGCTTCCTGCTGTCCCTCAGACGCACCTCTGCCCTCCCGCCTCTGTGAGAGTTGCTGCTGTGTCCCGTATCCTCCTGCCAGGTCTTCTCCAGCCCTCAAGGTTCTGATCAATACTGTTCCAGGAGCTTCTCCCTGAGCTACCCAATACAACACGACCTCTGCCAACCAGAAGCCCCCTTTCCTGGCCTTGATGTGGACTACTATGGTGGTGGTGGCAGTTATCAGGGAACAGCGTGGCCCAATAGGAAGAAATAGGCCTCCTGGGTCAGGCAGGCTGGAAGGGAGAGCCTGCTGTGATGGCTGTGTTGCTCCAGGTATACCTTGCTGGGGACTTTGGTTGGGGGAACACAGAATGTGAACAACTTCAAGAAGGCTGGTGGCAGCCAGGCGCAGTGGCTCACTCCTGTAATCCCAGCACTTTGGAAGGCCGAGGTGGGCAGATCACGAGGTCAGAAGATTGAGACCATCCTGGCTAACACAGTGAAACCCCGTCTCCACTAAAAATACAAAAACTTAGCTGGGCATGGTGGCATGCACCTGTAGTCCCAGCTACTTGGGAGGCTGAGGCAGGAGAATCGCTTGAACACGGGAGGCAGAGGTTGCAGTGAACTGAGATCACACCACTGCACTCGAGCCTTCCAGCCTGGGTGACAGAGCGAGACTCGGTGTCAACAACAAAAAAAAATGAAGGCTGGTGGCACCCAGAGATCTAGGAGAAATGTGGGGGTGGCAGCCCTAATTGGAAGACTAGTTGGAAGTTAGAGCCCTGTGCTTCAGATTCTTCACGGGGGCAGCTCTGGGCACAGGAAGGAGCACTGGACTGGGAGTCCAGTGTGTGGGCTGGAGACCATGTTCTTGCTTACTGTGCTGCCTTGACTGTTCTGCAAGGCACGCTAAAGTGAGGGCACTGGCCTTGAGACCAGAGGCCCCCTGCGTGCCTTGGCCCCATAATCTGTAGTGCCAGGGGGAAGGGGCTGGCACAGAGATTGGCACCACGATTTGAGAGTTGGAAAGAACAGTCTTTTAAACCCTTCAACAAGTATTTGTGGAACTCTCTACTTCCATGGGGCGAGGTCAGCGAGAACTCTCTGGAAAGCCCTTGTGCCTGCGGGCAGCCATGCAGAAAGGCCCTGGCCCAGCCTCCTCCCCTCATCCCAGCCCGGCCCTGTGGGGCTTGCAGCCACCTCAAGTCACCTGCCTGCTCCGGGCGCCTGTGATCTGGGGAGAGAACTAATCCCGCCTGTGAGAATTCCAAGTGGAATAATGGCTGGGGAAGTGGTGGTCGCCCACAGATGAGGGATTGTTCTTAATATTGTGTTACTTCTGAAGACACAACAGAGAGTGAGAAACTAACCCCGTCTGGCTCCTCCCCTGAGCCCCACTTCCTCCTAACTTCCGCAGTCCAGCCTGGCTTTGCAAAGAAAGAAAATCCTCTCCCCACCCCACTTCCCACACTCGAACCCCTGATTAAGTCCCTTACCTTCCTGAGTATCACTGTCTAATCCCTAAGCCCTTTCTCACCAGTCTCCAGTTGTCTTGAGAGCCAAATCCCTTTAGAATGAGGTGGCCCAGATAGCTGGGAGCACAGAGGCTGGGGGCAGGGAGCTGGGACCTCAGGAATCCCCCAGAGGGGAGGGGTGCTGGGGCCCCTGCTCTGGTTCTGGCTCTAGCTGGCAGGAGCCTGGAGATTTCCCTTGGGAAGGATGGGTTGGCATTTCTACCCCAAATAGAGCTAAATAGAGTCCAGATTCCACAGGCAGGCTTGTTCCCACACCAGTGACTTCTCAGAGCAGAATGGCATGGGGTGGGCCCACCAACTCTGGAACCAGACTATCTGAGTTTGGGACCTGGTTCTATAACCTAGCAGTTACTTGACCTCTGCCTCAGTTTCCCATCTGTAAAATAGCAGTGATCATCTATCTTACTACCTCATATGATTGGGATGAGATTAAATGAGCTAATTCGTGACAAGAACATTGAAGGGTAACTGGAACACTGTTGAAGGTATTGGCCAGTTTTTTATTTTTTGTGTTTTGTGGGGTTTTTTTTCTTTTTTTAGAGATGGGGGTCTCACTATGTTGTCCAGGCTGGCCTCAAATGATCCTCCCAGCTTGGCCTCCCAAAGTGCTGGGATTATAGGCGTGACCCACCTTACCCAGCTGGTATCAGCTGTTTTCACTTGCACTGTCTGTTTCTTCTCTCGAATATTCTTGCCATTCAGATGCCAGTCCACACACTACCTCTTAAAGAGGCCTCCCTTCCCTGGTAATGAGGCTGAAGTGGCCTCTGGCCCCCAGCCCCTCTCTGATGCTTTTTTTTTTTTTTTTGAGACTGAGTTTTGCTCTTGTTGCCCAGACTGAAGTGCAATGGCGAGATCTCAGCTCACCACAACCTCCGCCTCCCAGGTTCAAGTGATTCTCCTGCCTCAGCCTCCCCAGTAGCTGGGATTACAGGTATGCACCAACACACCCAGCTAATTTTGTATTTTTAGTAGAGACAGGGTTTCTCTATGTTGGTCAGGCTGGTCTTGAACTCCCGACCTCAGGCCTCCCAAAGTGCTGGGATTACAGGTGTGAGCCACCATGCCCAGCCCTCTGATGCTATTTGATCTCCTTCCTGTGGCACCTACTGTGGCCTGAAATGATCATGCTTGTGTATGTGGTTATGGTTTCCTATCTGTTCTCAAGGGCAGAAGCCATTGCTAGTTACGGACACTGCTCCATGCCCAGTGCCTCATACCCAGAAGGCATTTGATGTCCCTTTGTGGGCATGACACTCACCCTGTCTGCCTGAGAGCTGGGCCCAAGGAAGGAGCAGGGTCTCCTCCACTTTGCAGCCCACACCATAATTACACTGCAGCTATACACTGCATCTGCCCTGTGTGATCTTGAGTGAGTCATCAACCCTCTGAGAATCTAGGTGAGTGGAGGGAGGTGGCAGATGGAACTAGGCAATCAAGGGACATTTTTAAGATAGGCTAAGACAACTTGCTTTATATTCTGGGGTTTATGCCAATAAGGTAAAGGGATTTTAGGGACCTCAGATTCTAAAAGTACCACCACCTCAGGCCTAGCCATCCTTTGTTACCATTGGGCTTGAAGCCCCCACTGATGATGACACATTTAGAGTTAGGCATCGTCTTCTTCAGGGCTCTTTTTGTACAAAACAGTCACTGGGCCCCTTGTGGCCCCATTCCCCAGAGACCAGCCTGCCACCTGGTGGCAGCTTTGATTACATTGGCCTCTTCCTCCTGGGCAGGGCCCAGGTTCATGCTCACTGGAACAGACACATTCTAGATGTGGATTTGCCTTCTCTGCCCTTCATCCTTCTGCCAGCACCACCGTCTGTGTACTCATAGAATGCTTCATCCATTTTTATGGCATTTGCACAGTCTGGTGTGTGACCAAATAACTCATTTCACAGCAAAGGAAGAGAAGCAGAGGGCTCAGATTCACGGGAGTCACTGGCCTTATCATACACCCCATTCCTGGTACCAGTTCTAAAACATTTCATCCTCATCACCACCACCTTCCACCATTGGGGTAACATATTCCATGCTTCACACTTTTCTTTTCTTTCTTTCCTTTTTTTTTTTTTTTTGAACAGAACAATAAACACCTTTATTACATGGGTGAAGAGAGAAAACAAGGATTTATTTGCCTTTTCGGGCCTTGATTTTCCTAAGATAGAACTCCAACTCTTTGCCCTCTAGCACATAGCCATCTGCTCGGCCACACTGTCCCAGCCTTGAAGCCATGCATGCAAGAAGCTTGCCCTGCTGGAACTGCTCCTCCAGGAGACTGCTAGTTTTGGCATTCTATTTCCTTTCGTCGTATTTCTTCTGAATTTTTTTAGATCGTTTTTTGTTTAAAATCTCTTCTTCCTCAGGAGTCAGCTTGGCTCCCTTCTTGGGGCCCAGGGGCAGCGCATAGTGGGACTTGTACCACTGTCAGTACAGCATGCTGTCGATGAACACGATGCAATTCTTCACCAGGGTCTTGGTACGGACCAGCTCGTTATTAGACGCATTATAGACAACATCAATGATCCTTGTTTTTCGAGTACAACAGTCTGAGCCCCAGGAGAAATTTCCCACTTCCAGCCTCAGGGCACGGTATTTCTTGTTACCGCCCCACACACGGACTGTGTGGATGCGGCAGGGGCCAATCTTGGTGTCGGCAGCCGGGTGCCCCAACTCATACTTCTGCTTTTTGTGGTAGGACTTTCTCTTGCCCCCGGTCTTGCGCTGCTTGTGCCAGTTGTCCCGAGAGATGCCTGCATGTGGAAGCGGGGACCGAAGCTTCAGTCACTGGGACTCGTGCTGGCGACTCTGCAGCTCCAGACCCCCGCACCTGGCCAGCCGCACGCTCAGCTCTCCAAGGTTGGCTTCCCCACCGCGCACTCGGGAGTCTGCAGCATCACGGAATTGTCATCACACACGTGCGGCCCAAACGGGGCCTACTTCTCGCGGCAGCCATGTTGGCGCCGCTTGGAGCCTGCAGCCCGCAGTCCCGGAGAGAGGCTCGGCGGCCGAAACCCGAGGGCTGCTCCTCTTAGTGGCTTTTCCTGGCTGGGGGTCGGGGCGACTGGACTCCTCAGTAAGCTGTCTCTTTTTTTTTTTTCTTCTTTTTTTTGAGACAGAGTCTCACTCTGTTGCCCAGGCTGGAGCGCAATGGCCCGATCTCGGCTCACTGCAACCTCTGCCTCCCGGGTTCAAGCGATTCTCCTGTCTCAACCTCCTGAGTATCTTGGATTACAGGTGGATGCTGCCATACCTGGCTAATTTTTTGTATTTTTAGTAGAGACAGGATTTCACTGTGTTCCCCAGGCTGGTCTCGAACTCCTGAGCTCAGGCAATCCACCTGCTTCGGCCTCCCAAAGTGCTAGGATTACAGGCATGAGCCACTGCACCCAGCTGCCTCACACCTTCATTAATAACTTTATTTCTTCCTAGGTCCTCCTGCAATTTTGCAGGGTAAAAAGAGACAGAGGAATTGGGGGCTTTTCCATATAGGTCTCTGCTGAGGCCAGGGCCGGGAAACCTTGTAATCCAAGAAACAATCTACTTGAAATCACAGCATGTCTGATAAAAGGCCCTTCCCAGTCATTTAGTCCAAGCTCCCATTTTACAACTGAGGATGCAGGCCAAGAGAATGCAAGTGGGTTGTCCAGAGGCCCATGGTGAGAGAATGACAGCCCTGTCCCCTCTAGTTCCCCACCCTCTATTGGGAGCTGGGAGCTGTGGGTTGGGCTACTCCAGAGAGCCCACAGGGCTGAGGGTCCTGTTGTCCATCCCTGGGAGCAGGGTGGCCTGCATGTCTTAGCTGACATCCCTTCCCTCCCTTCTGAGGTCCTCTAGTCCCCTCCTCCTCAGATACTCCACTCCCAGGCAGGGCCTCAAGGTCACTCATCTCCTTACAGTCAACCTCCCATCCTTGGCTGCCTCACTTCCTGAGCTTACACTGCACCCTCTTACCCCCAGCATTGGCTCCAATCTTTACTGTTTCTTTACCCACTCCCTAACCCTCCTCACCCCAAAAGCGGCAGAAGGGCCTTGGCTGGGCTGGGCTACACCCACCCACATTGAGACGACATCCTCCAGCTCTTGTTCCTTCTGGGATAACCAGGGGTTATCCCACGGGAGAACACACCACAGAACGGGTTACCCACCAAGTTTGCAAGGGGGGGGGACCTCTGGCTCCCACTGATGGAAGGCTAGGATGTGGATATTTGTGGGGACGCAGAACTGTGTTCTAGGTGGAGGACAAGCATGAACAAGGACCTGCATCTGGTTGGAGTTTGTATGCTGAGGGGTAGCTAGGTCGGTGGGTGAGGGGTAAGGAGAAAGTGGGGACAGGGCAGGCAGAACATGGAGCCACAGACCTGGCTGATTACAGGGTATGTCCTTGCAACCCTGTCATTGGAGCTGACAGATGGGCTAGGACAGTCACAAAACTGGAGAAGCAAGCCTTTCCACAGGCACCACGGGGCTTCCACAGAGCATTTTGTAGCTTATGAAGAGTGATTTCGCACATACGAAAGAACATTAGTAACATACCCAAGTTATCCCAGCTACTTGGGAGGCTGAGGCCAGAGCACCACTTGAACCTGGGAGGTGGAGGTTGCAGTGAGCTGAGACCACACCACTGCACTCCAGCCTGGGTGACAGAGCAAGTCTCAAAAACAACAACGACAACAACAAAACAAAAAACATATCCAGGTAGTGATCCCTTATGCTTGGGCAATACGTTCCAAGACCCTCAGTGGATGCCCGAAACCTCAGATAGCACTGAACACATGCTGTGTTTCTTCAATCTGATAACTCTGAGACCTACTAAGTGACTAACAGGTGGTAACCTTTACAGCGGGGAGGATTCACATCCAGGGTGGGATGGAGAGGAAGGGCAAGAGATTTCATCATGCTACTCAGAACAGCATGCAATTTAAAACTTATGAATTGTTTATTTCTGGAATTTTCCACTTAATATTTTTTGGACGTTGGTTGGCTGAAGATAACTGAAGCCTCAGGTAAGTGGGGACTACTGTAGACCAATGGAACAGAATAATCTAGCTACATTCAGTGACTCACACCTGCAATCCCAGCACTGTGGGAGGCTGACACAGGGAGATCCCTTGAGCCAAGGAGTTCGAGACCAGCCTGGGCAACATGGTAAAACCCTATCTCTAAAAAAAAAAATCAGTTGGGTGTGGTGGCACACCCCTGTGGTCTCAGATACTTTGGACCCTGGGGTAGGAGAATCACTTGGGCCTGGGAGGTGGAGGTTCCAGTGAGCTGAGGTGGCACCACTGCACTCCAGCCTGGGCTACGGAGTGAGACCCTGTCTCAAAAATAAACAAATACACAATAATTTTTTAATGCTTAGACTTTTACTTTACTTTTTTTTTTTTTTTTTTTTTTTTTTTGAGAGGGAGTCTCTCTTGTCGCCAGGCTGGAGTGCAGCAGCGCGATCTCAGCTCACTGCAACCTCCACCTCCCAGGTTCAAAAGATTCTCCAGCCCCAGCCTCCCAAGTAGCTGGGACTACAGGGGCGCACCACCATGCTCAGCTAATTTTTGTACTTTTAGTAAAGAAGGGGTTTCACCATGTTGGCCAAGATGGTCTCGATCTCTTGATCTCGAAATCCTCTCGCCTCGGCTTCCCAAAGTGCTGGGATCACAGGCGTGAACCACTGCGTCTGGCCACTTTTACTTTTCTTATTTAGGTCTTTAATCTATATGAACTTCATATTTTGTATATGATGTGTAATAAGAGTCTAGTTTCATTTCTTTTCCTAATGGTTAATTCAACTTCTTAGCACAATTTACCAAACGGTCCATGGTGCTGCCTCCACATTCTGTCTCCACAAACACAATGCTTTCTCTGACATACACCATCTTTAGATATGTGGGTCAGTTTCTGGTCTGTTTCATGTTTCATTTGTCTGTCTTTAGGCTGATATCAGCGGCTGTCTTATTTTCCCATCTCACACTTCTTCAGGAGCAACTTGACATCCCATATCAGTGTTCATACAGGTGTTCACTGTAAAATTCTTTCAATTTTCTGGAGAAAAAGAGTGTTATGGCTCATCTGGCCCTTGCCCTTATATCACAATAAAATTTTTAAAGGCTCAGGTTTCAAACTGGGCCAGCTCCCAGCAGCCCAGACCCTTGGAGAAAAGGACAAGTTTTAGGACAGTTGTGGGACTTCCATATTCCAGCAGACATTTGAGTTATTTGCTGGTGCCCATTTATTCTTCTTCTTCTTTTTTTTTTGGAGACAGTCTCACTCTGTCGCCCAGGCTGGAGTGTAGTGGCCTGATCTCAGCTTCTCAGCTCACTGCAACCTCCACCTCCCGGGTTCTCCTGCCTCAGCCTCCCGAGTAGCTGGGATTACAGGAGCGCACCACCACGCCCAACTGATTTGTTAATTTAGTAGAGACAGGGTTTCACCATGTTAGCCAGGCTGATCTCCAACTTCCAACCTCTAGTGATCTGCCCGCCTCGGCCTCCCAAAGTGCTGGGATTACAGGCGTGAGCCACCGCGCCCGGCCTATGGTGCCCGTTTCACAGATGAGGGAAGTGACCCAGCCTCTCGGTCCCGCTGAGGTACTGGGTCCCTGCCTGCTTCGTCTTGCCTTGCGCCCCAGCCCCTCTCTCCTGCCCCTCCATCTCCCCCGTCGGCTTCCCTTGCCAGTTTTTGGTTCTCTACTTCCTGCTGTTTAGTGCAGTCGAGACAGGGAGCACCAGGGAAGAGAGACGTGACTTGGCCCTGGCCACCTCGTGGGTCCGTGGGGCTGCCGCAGAACAAGGGTCTGTCACCAGGCCCCCTAGACATCCCTAGCTCCTGCCCTTGTCGGACTCTGAGCGTGTCTTTGCTCCCCCAGATCACCCTTTCCAACTATCTCCTTGTCTGCCCCGCTGACGCGTCCGCGGCCCAAGCACCCCGCTGGCTGCGAGCACCTTCCTTTTCGACTTCCCGCTTACCCGCTGCGACCCGGGTTCCGCCCCCTCCAGCTCCCTCGGCCGCCGGCGCCTGAGCTCTCCGCGGCCACAAGAGGGAGCGCGCGGCCCAGTCTGGGCTCGGGAGCCGCCGAGCGCCCACCCTGTTCCTTCTGGTGCCCCGCCCCGTCCGGCCGCGGCCCCGCCCCTCCCGGCGCCCCGCCCCGTTCTGCCGCGGCCTCGCTCCCTCCGATCCCCCCGCGCCCGGGACCCTCGGGCCCCCTGTTGCGCCAGCCGGCCTGGTCCGGCCATGGGTCCCGCCGCTTGCCCCACGCTGAGATCGCCGCCGCCGCCTCCGCCGCCGCCCCCGTCGCTGCTGCTGCTGCTGCTGCCCCTGCTGCCGCTGTGGCTGGGCCTGGCGGGGCCCGGGGCCGCGGCGGACGGCAGCGAGCCTGCGGCCGGGGCGGGGCGAGGCGGAGCCCGCGCCGTGCGGGTGGACGTGAGGCTGCCGCGCCAGGACGCTCTGGTCCTGGAGGGCGTCAGGATCGGCCCCGAAGCCGACACGGCGCCCCTGCTGGGCGGTCGCCTGCTGCTGGTGAGCGCTGCTGAGCCATCTGGCCGCATCACTAAACCCCTCTCCCGACCCGCCCTACAGACCCCGCACCCAGAACCGACCTTCATCTTCCACCAAGCGCTGACGGTCCAGCGCCCCTCCCCAGGCTGCCCAGCCCCCAGCATTCAGGTTTCCCAATCCTGAGAGCCAGATGCTCTCCGAACTCTGGCCTTGCATCTAGTGTGACGGCCCCGGCTCCCTCCTCCCCTACACCCTGCCTCCCTCTGCTCATGGCCCCTTGCCACGCAGATGGACATCGTGGATGCCGAACAGGAGGCGCCAGTGGAAGGCTGGATTGCCGTGGCATACGTGGGCAAGGAGCAGGTGGCCCATTTCCACCAGGAGAATAAGGGCAGTGGGCCGCAGGCCTATCCCAAGGCCCTGGTCCAGCAGGTACAGGGGAGGTCTATGGGGGAGAGGGGCTGGAGGAAAGGATTCCAAGGCATCCGCTAGAGTCAGGCCCTCTTTAGGTAGGCCCTTAACGAGCTTGCAGAGAAGCCCTGGGCGTGGGGGGTCAGGGCACCCCAGTTTGAAGAATGGAGTCAGTATGGCCTCGAAGCAGGAAAGTGAGGAGAGGCCAGAGAGAGGTTGGGAAGCTTGACCAGCTCTGAGAGTATGGGGGGGGGGTTGCTGCTGGCGGCCACTTGGGGGGGACTCGGGGACTGCCCTGCTAGGACTGGGAAGGCACCGTGCATCTGGAGGGGAGGTAGGAAGAAGAAGTTTCCGCCTTTGACCTCAAGGAGCTATGGCTAGTCTCCAGAGTTTTGCTCACTGCAGGGCGGGAGGCTAAGAGCAGCTGGGGCTGCAGGTGGTGAGACAGGTGTGCAGGCAGAGTACATGCTAGCTTCTCGCCTTCTGTCCCTCTGCAGATGCGGCGGGCCCTCTTCCTGGGGGCCTCTGCCCTGCTTCTCCTCATCCTGAACCACAACGTGGTCCGAGAGGTAAATCAGACCAGGCCGTGAGGGTAAGCAGGCTGGGGAAAAGGGGGACCCAGGCCTGCTGACCTCCCTGTCTCCCCGCAGCTGGACATATCCCAGCTTCTGCTCAGGCCAGTGATCGTCCTCCATTATTCCTCCAATGTCACCAAGCTGCTGGATGCACTGCTGCAGTGAGTTGGCATTTAGACTTCAGAGGACTGGGCCTGGGCACAGAGCGCCCCTGGCTCTCCCAGGGGCTGAGCAGGGCTTGGGACCAGGGTCTTACCTGTTAGATTGTTTTTTTTCTTTTATTTTCCTTTCAAGACAGAGTCTCGCTCTGTCGCCCAGGCTAGAGTGCAATGGCACAATCTCAGCTCACTGCAACCTCTGCCTCCCTGGTTCACGCAATTCTCCTGCCTCAGCCTCCTGTGTAGCTGGGATTACAGGTGTACACCACCATGCCCAGCTAATTTTTTTGTTTGTTTGTTTAGTAGAGACGGGGTTTCACTACGTTGGCCAGACTGGTCTCAAACTCCTGACCTCCTCGTGATCTGCCCACCTCAGACTCCCAGAGTGCTGGGATTACAGGTGTGAGGCACCGCGCCCAGCCATTTTTGTTTTTTTTGTTTTTTTGAGAAAGAGTTTCGCTCTTGTTGCCCGAGCTAGAGTGCAATGGCATAGTCTTGGCTCACTGGAACCTCTGCCTCCCAGGTTCAAGTGATTCTCCTGCCTCAGCCTCCCAAGTAGCTGAGGTCTCAGGTACCCACCACCACACCCAGCTAATTTTTTGTATTTTTAGTAGAAAGACATGGTTTCACCATGCTGGTCTCAAATTCCTGACCTCAGGTGATCTACCTGCCTTGGCCTCCCAAAGTGCTGGGATTACAGGCATGAGCCCCTGTTGCCACTGCTGCTGTTGCTGCCCCTGCTGCCACTGTGGCTGGGCCTGGCAGGGCCCGGCCTATCTGTTAGCTTTAAGACTGCCCTCTGGGCTGCTAATGGTGGCTCATCCCTGCTGCAGCACTTTGGTAAGCTGAGGCCGGAGTATCACTCGAGTCCAGGAGTTTGAGACCCGCCTGGGCAACATGGCAAAACTCCGTCTCTACAAAAAAATACAAAAATTAGCTGGGCATGGTGGCACATGCCTGTAGTCCCAGCTAATCAGCAAGCTGAAGTGGGAGGATCACTGAAGCCTGGGAGGCAGAGGCTGCAGTGAGCTGTGATTGTGCCACTGCACTCCAGCCTGGGTAACACAGGGACACTCTGTCTCAAATTAAAAAAAAAAGACTGTCCTCTCCAGGCTGAAAAATGGGTGAGGGGATGGGAAGGAGGTTCCAGAGCCTGGAGCTTGGAGCAAGGAGGTGGCTCTGTGGGCAGAGGGGACTGGCCCCAGCAAGGAGGAAGTTGGACTCCCTGGGCTTGCTGCTGTGAAAGCTGGAAAAACCAATAGAGGGAAGAGGGCTGGAGCAAAGTGGAAGGCCTACGGGGGTGACATTCTTAGGTATCCTTTTCCTGCAGAGCTGGGGTGGGTGGATCTGGGCCTTCCAAGAGTCCTTCCATCTGACCCTGGTGACTTTCTCTCCCAGGAGGACCCAGGCCACGGCTGAAATTACCAGTGGAGAGTCCCTGTCCGCCAATATCGAGTGGAAGCTGACCTTGTGGACCACCTGTGGCCTCTCCAAGGATGGCTATGGAGGATGGCAGGACTTGGTCTGTTTGGGAGGCAGTCGCGCGCAGGAGCAGGTGGGTGCTAGCAGATTACAAGGGGCCTGGGAAAAGGAGGCTCATGGGGCCTCATATATTGCCTTGTCTTGCAAATCCTATGGCTTCTCCCCACCTTGGTGGCAAGGACAAGTCTCTCCCAGCCCACAGGAGTGCTGTGAGTATTCAGAGACATGGTGAGGTGAGTGCTTAGTGGAGCACCTGGGCCAGGTCACATGCAGTCCATGTTAGCTGCTGTCCTCTTGTTCTCCTGCAGCATTGGGAAGCCTTATTCCACTGCCTGTAGAATAAAGTTCAGACCCCTTCACTTGGCTTTCACAGTTCTCTGCATTACTCACTCGCTCTGTTTTTCTAGTCCTGTTTCCTATGCTCTGGCTACCCTGTGCCAGTGACCACACATGCCCTGGCCTTCTGCCACTGGGCCTTGTCTATGCCTAGCTGTAGACGTGGACACCCTTTCTCTCCGTGTCCACATGTCCTAGTCTAGCTAGAACCTTCACAGCTCATCCTGCCACCCTTCTTTGGAAAGCCTCCCTCGCACCCCAGCTTGAAGTCCCCTCTCTCCCTCTTCTGTAACACAGCAAGGTGTGGTCAGGCCTTTCCTAGGCCTCTCAGGACAGCCCATCCTGCATGTGATGGGGCACGTCACTTTGTCCCCACAGCCAGGACTGTGTTTTATCGTCTCTGGATTTCCAACACTTGGCATCAGGCCATTCGGGGGTATTCGGTCCACAAGCATTTCTTGAGTCCCTATTTGGCCTGGCAGTCACATCTCAGTCTCCTGGTGTGCAGCCTCTAGCAGGTGTTGCCAACGTGGGCCGTGCAGGGCAGCTTCAAGCTGGGCAATCTTGGGATCAAATCCTGGTTCAGAAACCTTAGCTGACTGATCTCAGGCTGGGAGTTTCTCCACTCTGGCCTCGTGTTCCTCTTTGCGAACAGGGATGGTACACTGCATATCCCTGTCATGAGTGGCCCACACAGGCCTCTGGACAGGGCAGGCATTGGCGAGAGGTCCGAGGTGGGGCTGTGCACAGTCTGCAGGTTGCTCTGGCTGCTCCAGAGAGCAGAGCTGAGCAGCTTTAGCCAGGCTACAGGCTGGGGTCAAGGTGGTCCCAACCCAAGTATTGGGTGGTCATAGCAGCTGAGGTGTCTGAAGGGTGGTTGGGGTAGGCATCTCAGTGGCTGGCCTGATGGGCATCAGGCTCTCAGTCCTGACCCCAGGGCCCAGTTACCATCCCTCTAGCCTCTGAGATTCCAGAGCAGTAACACCCATATATCAGGAAGATCTGATGAGCACCAGTGGCGCCATCCTGGCTCACGGCAGCCTTGACCTCCTGGGCTCAAGGGACCCTCCCACCTCAGCCCCCCCAAGTAGCTGGGACTACAAGCATATGCCACCATGTCTGGCTAATTTTTATATTTTTTGTAGAAGTGGGGTTCCACTTTGTTGCCCAGGCTGGTCTTGAACTCCTGAGCTTGGGCAGTCCTCCCACCTTGGCCTCCCAAAGTGCTGGGATAACAGGTATGAGCCACCATGCCTGGCTAATGAACAGTCCTTACTGCTCTGATGCCAAACCCCATCCTTCCCTCCATCTTCACCTGGAGCTCTACAAGCTGTGTTCTCCAGGATGCACTAAACCTGAGGCACATAGGGTTCCCCAGCATGCACTGAGCCTGGGCAGGCTGGGTCTCTGGCCTGCAGCGGAGCTTCAGGCTAGCCATACCTTCAGCCCACCGAGCTGGCTGCTCTGAGGCTTACGCTGTGATGGCCACTCAGTTCTGGCATGGGGCTCAGGGGAGCATCACTTTGTCTCCTGATGGCCAGGGCTGTGTTTCATCATCCCTGGATTTCTAACCCTTGGCATCAAGGGTTTTCTGTCCACAAGTATTTCAAGTCATGTCTCTGCCAGGCAGTGACGCCCCAGTCTTCTGGTATACAGCCCTCAGCAAGTGTTGGCCAATGTGGGCTGCTCCAGCCCTGGGCTCATGGGCGCCCAATCTGGAGGGCAGATAGGCCAAAGGCATGCTGTCACTCTGCTGGGGTGAGCCCTGAGTTGGTGATAGGTCCAGGACCCTCTAAGGCATGATAAAGGCACTCAGGCTAGGGCTTGGGGACAACTTCCTAGAACAGGTGGCACTCCCAGCTGCAGCTGCAGCTGCAGGAAAGAAGGGGGCAGGATGGAAAGGGAAGCTGGGGCTCACAGATGCTTCCCAGTGAGGGCCCCCAGAACACCTCCACTCTGAACAGAGGAATGGCTTGTGGCATGAGCAGCACTCAGGCTTGTCTAGAGCAGTGGCCTCTTCATATCAGGTCATCTCTCAGCCCCTCTTCCCCACATGACAATAGATAAACTTTAGCATTGGTCAGGGAAGAACACGACGGCAGAGAGCTTTGAAGTGAATGACTGTATTAGTCACAGCACACGCAGACCCTGTGCAGAGGCGCACCTCGGGGAGCACGCCATGTTTTGCTTCCTCCGCGGCACCGTCTCCTGATCCAGCTGCTGAGTAGTCTAAGCCCAGCAGCCACACCGCATCTTGGGCGTGTTGAGTCAAGGTCATTGTGGTTCCCAGAGTCACTCTGAGGCTGTCCAGGGCCCCCCGGTTTTAAAGTGTCCTCTCTGTCGTGCTTCCTTTCCAAATTCACTCATTCCACAAAGCCGGTGGGAGGGACTGGGCTAGAGTGGTGAGCACATCAGCTGTGGCTGCCTCCCACTGATGGGAGCCCACGGACCAAGGGCAGCTGCGTGGGAACGCTGGGTAGAGCAGGTGTGAGGGCTGGGCAGCAGTAGGTTAGGCAGGGGCATTCACCCAGCCATAGAGGTTAGGGAGCTTCTAGAGCAAGTAGGGGCAGTAGCCGAGGAAAGGGGTGAGGTGGAAAAGAATTTTCAAGATGGCAACAATGTGGAAAGGCAGACACAGGAGGGAGCCAGCAGCACCGGACACTGAGAGGAGGCAGATGACACTCCAGGGAAGGAGCTCAGGCAGGGGAGCTGCGGGGCCTGGTGTGCAGGGGAGAGCCCTCTGGCTGTGGGTGGGAAATGGTGGCAAGGAGGGTATGAGAGACCCCCATCAGGAGAACAAAGCAATAGGCCTTGGGGGCTGGCTCCCTCCCGTACAGGGGGTGTGTGAATATTCAGCCTGGATGGGTGAGTGGGTGACAGCAGGGCCTGAGAAAGCTGACGAGGAGGAAGTGCAGGAGGATGCAAGTGGGAGAGTGAGTGGGTCCCAGGCTGGGTGCTGGGTTGCTGGGTACTGGGTTGGGGAGTCTCTGAGGCTACCAGATAGAGGCTTCTGTGAGTGTAAAACATCAGGTTTGTTGCCCAGGAGAGCCCTGGGCTGGGAATGGACGTGGCTGTCCTTGGAGCTGGATGGGTAGACGTGTAGGGCAGAGCGAGGGCAGCAGTGGTGGACCCTGAGGAGCACATGGGGAGGAATGGAGCCTTCAGAAGAGGGAGCCAGGGACTGCAGGGACATAGCGGCCTTCAGCACCCTTCACCTGCCTGTTCCCTGGTGCTCCTGGGGGAGGATGTTCCTGAGGGAGGCATGTGGGGGCGGCCCCATGTCCTTGATGATTGCTTCCCTCCGCAGAAGCCCCTGCAGCAGCTGTGGAATGCCATCCTGCTGGTGGCCATGCTCCTGTGCACAGGCCTCATGGTCCAGGCCCAGCGGCAGGCATCGCGGCACAGCCAGCGGGAGCTCGGAGGCCAGGTGGGAGCCAGCCCCAGGGAGCCCCAGTGCCATGGGCCTCTGGGCCTGTGAGACCATGCCTGTTCTCTACCCACAGGTGGACCTGTTTAAGCGCCGCGTGGTGCGGAGACTGGCATCCCTCAAGACACGGCGCTGCCGGCTGAGCAGGGCGGCACAGGGCCTCCCGGAGCCGAGTGCTGAGACCTGTGCTGTGTGCCTGGACTACTTCTGCAACAAGCAGGCTAGTGCCCCGGGTAGAGACCAGCCATCAGCTCACCTGTGATGCCTCCCACCTTACTCCCGAGACCCTGGAACTACCCCTAACAGTCCCTTCTTCCAGCCATCAGGGCTACAGAGCAGAATTTCGGGGTGCGGGGGAAGCCATGAGGTTTCAGTTACCCCACTGAGGCGAGGGACATGGGACCAGGCACCCCCACGTGGAGTCCTGCTACGATGGCCTGAGCCCTTCCTCCCCAACCTCTGTAGTGGCTCCGAGTGCTGCCCTGTAAGCACGAATTTCACCGAGACTGTGTGGACCCCTGGCTGATGCTGCAGCAGACCTGCCCACTGTGCAAATTCAACGTCCTGGGTGAGCACCAGGGGCGGGGGCCCTCGGCCTACTCCACCTGCTCCTCACCTGATACCTCCCTCCCTGTTCTTCTTCCCCTCCCCTGCAGGGAACCGCTACTCCGATTAGCTGCCCAGCTGGACTCTGCACGTGGGGACGGACCTTTCCTGCCTGTACCTCGGTCCTCAGCCTGGGCTCCCAGGACAGGACAGCAAGCCCAGTGGGTGGAAGGCTGAGGGCCCCACCATGTCCACACTGGGAAGGAGGGCCCCACAGCTTCAGACTGAGGATCTAGGGCCGGGACCTATCAGTCAAGGAAGAGAGGTCACTTTGAGACCTTTTCTGTAATCCTGGGATGCGAGCTGCCCTCCTCACAGGCAGCTCCCAGGTCAATAGGAAAAGAGAATATGGGGCCAGTGTGGCTGTCCCCAGGGTTCTGGGAGCTCCCTGTGGCCTCTCAGGGAATTCTTGGGGGCTGAGACTGCAGTGGCCAGGCTGTGTGCTTATTTATTGGGGGGTGGGTTGAGGGAAGAGCTATCTGGCCTTGGGGTACCCTGGCCTGACCGTCTTCTGGGATACATCTTGGTCAAGACTGCCTGCCTGTTGCCCTTGGTCCTTGGGTACCAGGAGCCATGGGTCCTGCTGCCTGTCCAGCCTGGCTCCCTTCCTGGGCCTAGCTAGGACCAGAGCCTTAGAAACCATCCTGTCCTGGACTCCTTGGCTGCAGCTTTGTGCTGCTGACCGGGACACTCAACTCACAGGATCAATGTGGTGCATCAACCAGGGGCATCCAATTTTTTTTTTTTTTTTTAGAGTTGGGGTAGGGAAGGTTTAATAGTAAAATAAACATGGCTATATTTTAACATAAGATATAAAATGTGTATGGGTGTTTTAAGATTTAAAAAGTCACCTTAGGTTCTACTACCTGTGGTAGATGGAATTCTAAGATGGCCCCCAAGATTCCCACTGCCACCCACCGTGAACATGCCCTGTATTAATATAATCTCTGGAACTGTGACTCTAAGGGATTTTATGCTCATGGTTGGGCGGTATGGCAGGTTGACCTGAAGAAAGGGAAAGTATTGAGTGGGCCTTGGCCTAAACACATGAGCCCATTAAAAGTCGTTTTCTGCTGGTACAAAAGGAGGAAGTCAGGGATTTAAAGCATGTGGGGGATTCAGTGCCTGAGAAATTCTGTGTTGCTGATTTGAAGATGGAGGGAGCCCCATGGCAAGGAAAGTGGGCGGCCTCTAGGAGGTGAGAGAGGAGCTGGCTTACAGCAGCCAGTGAGGAGATGAGGACCTCAGTCTCATGGCCACAGGATCGGAATTCTGCCACCAAGTAAAATGAGCTTGGAAGTGGATTCTTCCCCAGAGCCAGCAGAAAGGAACACAGCCTGGTAGATGCCTTGATTTCAACCTTCTGGGACCCTTAGTAGAAAACCCGGCCACACAGAATCTAGACTTCCAACCTCCAGAACTGGGAGCTAATGAATACATGGGTATGGAATTGGTGGCAGCCTGAGAGATGCTCAGCTGTGAGGTTGTTCCCCTGGACTTGGCCACAGGCCTCCTGGCTCAGGGTGCTAAGGGCTGGTGCTCCCCTGTGAGGGGGGTGCCTGGGCCCCTCAGAAGCAGGAAATGACGCTGACCATGGCCCTTCTTGACCCTTGTCTGTGAACTGAGGTGCTCTGACGGCCTCTTCACCAAGGAAAAATGCTTCAGGCACCTGGGAGTGTGCACCCTGAGAAGGCCTCAGCAAGTTTTTGGAGACCGTCCTTCATAGGCAAGTGGCTCAGAGCAGACTGGTGGCTTCATGAGGAAAACCGGAGCTCTGGATGCTCAGCTGCATGGCATCCTGGGCTGGGGAGGAGGGCAAGGGACAGGCATGGGACAGCCAGGGCTGGCAGGATGTCCTCTGCTTAAGGGAAGCCTTGCCCTGCCTTCAGTGACCTCCTGGGGCTCTGACCTCCAGGAGTTAGAGAAACCTTCATGATGGTCACCATTTCCTAAAGGAGAGGAGTTCCTCAGTGAAAGGATGCTGACCTCTTGGGTTCTTAATGTGCTCAGTGTAGGTCCAGAGCCAGGGTGGGAGGCTGAAGGCATTACTCCCCTCTGCCTGCCTCAGAAGTCCTCAATGGCCCTTCCTCTGTCCACCCTCACCTGACACCCATCTGAGTCAGTACAAGACACTGAGCCCAGGTTCACCCCTGGGACCTTGCTCTGGGGATAGAAAGACGGCCCTTCACCTGGCCCAGGTCCTAGGAGCTTCCTCTGCCCTGAGTGTACTCTCCTATCCCACAGTCTCTGTCAGGAGGGAAGCAGGAAGGCCCCTTTTACTGAGGGTCAATAGGGCCAGGACTCTGCTGGCTGATGACCTACATGGCTGGGGACTCCGTGGTCCCTGTCCTAGGAAGGACTCTTTCCCCAGCTCAGCCATACTGTGAAGCCAAGACTGCTGTGGGCCAATGGTTGGGCCTTTATTACAGTGGGTGGGCTGCCAGCCACCTGCCATCCAGCCCCAGCCCTACCACAGGCTACATGGGCCGCTCCTGGGGCTGGTGTGCAGAGCCGGCCTGGCCCTGGCCAGGTGACAGTCTCCTCTTCAGCCTGACCAAGGCCCTGATGGGGCTCTGGGTGGAGGTGGCCGAGTGGGTCACATCCTCCAGCAAGGACATGCTGGGCTGGCTGCAGGGCTGCCGAGGTGGGGATGCGCGGGGCTGCTGAGGTGGAGAGGTGCGGGGCTGGCCGGGCAGGGTCCTGCCCATCCTGCTGCCAGGAAGGTGCTGTCCACCCAGGGGCCTGAAGGAAAACCAGATCCAAGATCCTCTGTGAGTTCGGGGGATACTCTACCTACCTGCCCTGCCTCTGGTAAAGCCTCACTCACCCTGGGGATGTGCTCTGGGTCTGGACTGGCGGTGTTGTTCCCTGGGTTCCCTTGCTGGAAGGGGACCAGAGCTGGTCCTGTGGGATCAGCTACAAAAAAAAAAAAAAAAGGCCAGTCATAGAAGGACCCAGGAGTCTCCTCCCCACTGTACAGAGAGGGTGTTGTAATCAGGGTTGAGGAGGGAGGGCCTGGACGCATACCAACGAGCCCACCACCTGGGGTGGTGCCTAGGAAGCCTTCCAGGGCCTATTCTCAGCTGCAAAACCTCAGGCAGACAGCAAGTGTGGGGAGGTTTCTTTCCGGCACGGCTTTTTTTTTTGTAGAAACAGGGTCTCACTATGTTGTCCAGGCTGGTCTCAAACTCCTGGGCTCAAGTGATCTGCCTGCCTTGGCCTCTCAAATCATTGGGATTACAGGCATGAGCCACCCTGCCTGGCCTGACAGGCTTCTTGTTGCACTTAAAGGCATGAAGGGCTATAGAGGATATGGGACTGGAAGGCACTGGATCCTAAACATCCTCACGCCTTCTGGAAATGTGAAAACTGTTTCACAAAAGCACAGCCTGAGGCCTCATGCAATGAGGTGGGCTGCCATAAGTTCCTGGGGCAGAGTCTGAAGACCTCTGCTGGGTAGGGGCTTCCTCCTGGTCCCCAAGGGCCCGCCCTCTCAGGCCTACCTTGAGGCCACCCTGCTGGGCCACTTCCCGGATTCTGGACAGCATTGATTGAAGCCGCCCGTTCTCCTCCTGTAGGACCCGGATGCGGATGTTGTTGGCCTGCACTTGCCTCTCCATGTCATCTGTGACGTTGCCAGAGTCTGTGGGACATGTTATCTGGGACTCCACCCTGCTTGATCTGCCTCCTGTGCCCAGTGGGACTGGACCTTAGGAGGGAGGCACACCAGCTTGGGTGGGTGGCCCGGCAACTGGCCCAAGGGAGCTATTAGTACACCAGGCCTCCCATCTCACCTTCCTTTTCCTGAAGCCTTGTTCCCACCTCCCTGTCCCCCAACCATCTGCTGGGAAGATGACTGTACTATAAAATTTGAGAGCTGGGTGGGGCCTAGAGCTCTCAAAAGACTTAGCAAATAAGCAGAGGAGTGAATCTCTTCCTAGGCCCCGTTTTGGACAGGCCAGAGACGAAGTGAGCTGTCCAAGGTCACAGCCAGCTCAAGGATGGGAATGGTAGCAATTCGGCAAGGCTGCTCTCTCCCCTGCTTTTGTGATGGCTGCTTCCTTCTGGCTCCATGAGCCTGGGAGAATTGCTGCCCCTTCTGGTTCAGTTTCCTGCTTTGTAAAAAGGGGCTATGACCTGCCTCAGGTAGTTGAGAAGGGGACAGAAGGGCCTGGATGGCGTCTCATGGGCAGCTAAATTGCAGCAATCCTCCTGCCGGCTCTGTGAATGGATTCGCCTCAGCACTTTAGGGGGCTGGAGGGACTGGGAGAACCCAGGTCACCTGATATCCAATCCTGTGCCAAGATGGGTACCTAGCACTCCTGTGCCATAGGGTCCAGGACAGCAGCAGCTGGGGGCTCTCATTGGAACTAGTCCCATGGTGTGGTTTGGGGACCCATTCCAAGGACCAAAAGGGACACAGGCAAGTTGAGCAAGGGCTGGCATGTGACGTGGTGAAGAGCATGGGCTGCAGGGACAACCAGACCTGTGTCTGGATTTGGCTGTCGTGACTAGAGGCAGTCACATCACTGCTGGGCTTTCACGTCCCTGTCTGCACAGAGTGGATAATGCATGAAGCACTTGCATGCTGTGGTGGGTCCACAGGGGCTGCACTGCTAGCTGCCCGGCTTTACCACCCTCACTACAGGCTGGGGAGCTGCAGACCCCAGTGTCCTGCCCACATGAGCCCTCAGCTGCCGGCCCTGAGCCCCAGCATGCCCTTGGCACCATCCCCAGTCCCCTACCATGGATCTGGGTCTTGGTGGGCTGGTGCAGGTCTGGGAAGGCCACCAGCAGCCGCTCCTGCTCCCTCAGCTCTACCAGCTCCCGCTCTAGCTCCAGGATGGTCAGCCGCAAGTCTGTAGTCACCTGCTCTAGGCCTTGCTTCTCTCTCTGCAGGCTCTGCAGCAGCTCCTGAGGCAGGGGAGGCTTTAGGCCTGGCTCCTGAGTGAGCCACATGGCACCTAGCACCCCTGGGACACTGTCCCTACTGCCAAGACATGAGTGCAGCAGCTCCTGAGGCAGGGGAGGCTTTAGGCCTGGCTCCTGAGTGAGCCACATGGCACCTAGCACCCCTGGGACACTGTCCCTACTGCCAAGACATGAGACAGGCCTGCTGGCACTCGGCTGGCCAGAGGCTTCTCTGGCAAAAGGGAAGACACCCACCCTCACCTGCTGGGCCCGGAGCTGGCACTGCCCCTGCTCTCGCTCGCTCTGCAGCTGCTCTTCCACACGGGCCCGCTGGGCCTCAGCCTCATCCAGGCTGCCCCGCAGCTCCTCACGCTCCTGGTCCAGGCTGTCCAGCTGCTTTAGCAGGGCTTGCTGCTTGGCCTGCAGGGACTGAGCAGGAATCAACAGGCAGGGAGGCTGTGAGACCCACAGGGTAGGCCCAGCCACATGGAACTAAGGAGGCTACAGCATCCACTACCCCCATCCTTGCTCCCTCATGTGTGTCTAGGGAATGCTGGTCACACGCGTGGAAGGGTAGGGGTGAGGGGAAGCTGGCAGCAGGCAGATGCACATCTGGTCAAGACCAAGACCCCCAGCTTAAAGACGCTGCTGGCCCTTGGCTGGCTCTGGGGGTCTCACCCCCACTTCCAGTCACACGTAGACCCCACTTGGAGAGGAATTCCGGGAACTAAGTTTTTCTTCTTCTTGGGTCTCCAGTGTCACATCATCCCCCACCACTGAAGCCCCCACTTCCTAACACCCACAGAATGGAAAGCAGGAAGAACTAACGCCGGTCTGCTCGGAGCCCTGGCTCCACCTCTTGCTAGCTGTGTGGCCTTGGGCAACTTTCTTAACCTCAGTAAGGCTGTTTCCTCATTCGTAAAATGGGGGTAACAAGAGTATCTGCCTCCTGCTGTAGCAAGGAGTAAGCCTCAGAGGCTGTGGAGCCAGAAGCCAGAGGCTGGGTCACAGCAGACACCTGATACATGGCAGCTGTGTCGGTTTGCAGGGCACACAGAGCTTCCCCTATCCTGGGCTCATGCCTGACTCTGTGGACTCTCAGCTGAACTCCCTGGCTCTTGCTGAGCTTCTGAGGGTAGCCCAGCCAGAGAAGCCCCAGACCTGCCCCCTTCACTGGGCAACAGGTCACCTATTCCCTCAACCACACTTCGGAGGACTCCTGCAAGGCCCCACTGCCCAGAACACAGCTGTGCCCGGGGCCCTGGCTCACCCTCTGCCTGCCCTATCCTTCCGATGGCTGATGGCTGATGTGGCCATGCCCCCCTGCACCCCTTAGCCATCTGGCAGGAGAGTGTGGCATATTTGCTCATCTTTGCCTGTGGGGCACTCCTCCAGAGTGAGGCCTCATTAGGGAGTAGCTGTCCCTAGGTCACTGTTCCCCAGTGCCTGGCTCAGGGCAGACTCTCTGTGACGGTGAGTCAACCCTACACCTGGAGGTATCTCAGGGAGCAGGTGCCCAAACAGACGAGCCCCCATTCCCTGCCAGCACAGCCCTCTCTCCCTGCAGCCTACATTGTGGGTTCCCAGGCTGGCGAGGGCCCTGGCCTTACCTCCTGGTGGCGGACCATGCTTTTGTCACGGGCCTTCTCCTTGTCCAGCTCCTTGTTGGCCCAGCTGATCTGCTGTCTGGCGCCCTCCAGCTGCCCCACCAGCTGCTGCACCTGCTCCTCCAGCTGCTGCACCTGCTCCTCCAGCTGCTGTACCTGCCTCTCTGCCGCCGCCCTGCACTCACCTTCCTCCTGCAGCTGCTGGGCCTTTGCCTCTGCAGCATTGAGCAGGTGTGGGATGGGGTAGGGCAGGGGAGCGCTGTACTACCTCAGACCCAGGATGGGACCCAAGCGGGATATCACATCTCTGGGCCTCAGAGTCCTCAGCCACAAAATGGGCTCTAGACCCTGCCTGAGGTGGGTCTGGAAAACAGAATGTGCTTTCTGGGTGGGAGGTGGCACCCCAGCTTGGCCACTGCCCAGCAGTGTGGTTGGCCAGGCCCACCCTCCTGTGGCTGGTTCCCTTCATCTTTGCCCTGGATGCTCAGGGGACAGAGACAGACAATGCTCATCCAGCCACACTACTAGCTTGAGATGTGGCATGGGGGCCTAAAATGGGGCTCCTTACCCACAGCCTGTGTGGACTCCTGCTGCTGTTTCAGTTCCCTCTCCAGGGTGGCCATCTTTGTCTTTAGGTCACATGTTTCTATGGCAGCCAAGAGAGAGGCCCTGTCCCATGGGCCTGGCCAGTGACCTTCATGCCCAGTGTGCCCCATGCAGTGGAGGCAGCCCGTTTCCTGCAGAGGAGCCGCCTGTGGTTGTGGGAAGAGCTCTGGGGAGTTGGTTGAGGGGGCTGGGCCCTCATCCACCCTGTTTCTCAAGGGCTGGCTGCCATGTGTCTGCACCTCTCCAGGCCTTGGTATCATTCATGGAGGCAACCATGAGGCTCAGAAAGGGCAAATCTCTCAGGCCTCCTATCAGTGGGCACTGGCCAACTTCTGGTGCCAGCAACTGAGTCTCTGATGGCTTTTGCCAAAACCAGAGAGGCTACTCTGCTGGCTGGAAGTGCCAGGGGAATAACCCTCTGGAAGTAGCCCTCAATGATTGATAGTGCAAGTGGATACACATCCCAGCTCCCTCCCCAACTGAGGGACGAGTCTGGGCAAGCATCCTAGCCTGGCTCCTGGTGACCCCAGCAGGAACTGAGCTCACAGTGTCACTGCCGGATGAACACACCCTTCCTTGCTGCCCTCCCTTCCCTGCCTCTTGCCTGTGCCCCAGCCTGGGTTTCCTCCACACAAACCACTTGCCCTGGAAGCCCTGTCTCATGCACCCATGCGAAGGCTGTGGCAGAGCCCCTGGGCACCAGGCGTTCAGCCTCCAGGGCACAGACCTGCGAGCAGCTGCTGCTTGTCATGCTCCCACTCAGCCAGGCACTGCTCATTCTCCTCCGCCTGTCGCTGCCGTGCCCCCTGTTCCTGTTTCAGCGCCTGCTCCAGCTTGCACGCCTGCTTCCTCAGGCCATCCTTTTGCTCCTCAGCCTCTGCCAGCTGGGCCCTAAGGGCCTCCACATGCTTACTGAGGCACGTCAGGTCTTTTCTCTGCTCTGCTGCCCAGTGGCCCACCGTGGCAGCTGGCAGTGGCCTGAGCCCCATGCTGTCCTGCACCAGTTGCTGGAACTGGCCTAAGGACGAGGGTAAGTTCTGGCTCTGACACAGGCTGATGACCACCTTGCCCACCTTCCACAGGCTTCCCTGGACGCTGGCACACGCGTCACAGGGCACCAGGGCCGTCTCAATGGTCTGGGAGTAAACACTCCTGGTGTTCTTGGAGGCCGTGGCTGGACACTGCAGGGAGGCTCTGATGGGGATGCTCTCTGGGTCTTGGCAGGTCTGGGGCAAGCCTGGCATTGGGGAGGAGGGCTTGATGAACTTGGCAGTCAGACATTCAGGGCTCCTAGCTGGCTTGTCCTTGGCGGTGGGCTTGGAGGTAGGGGTCTCCCTTTGGTTTGCCCCTTTCTGTGTTCAGAAAAAGAAAAGGGAAAGCAGGTGAAAGTGGAGAGGGAGGTGACTGGTTCCCTGGGGATGTTCTGTGACAGTGCGACAGACTTACCTGACACTCAGACCCTCAGATGTTTTCTGACACCAATGTAAATAAGAGAACTTTCTCCCTCTTTTCCTCTGACTCAACTTACCACACCCAGGCCTCCTCTCTGCAGCCCATACCCCAACCTCCATGCTTGATCTGATTGTATGCATGGTGTTGGGAGGGCGATGGTGATGGTCACAGCTGCTGGTTACTGGGCTCTTGCTTAGTGGACATGCCTGCTCTCATGTCACCATAACCACTCTCAGTTTTAGTTTCTTCCCCATCACGGTGACAGTAGCCCTTCCTGAGTGGGTGCCTGTGTGGATTATGGGATAGCCCGTAACAAACAAGTCTCACATGACCTCCGCTGTCTGAATCTCAGATGAAGAAACTGAAGTTCAGAGGAGGCAGGATTTTTCCAAAGTCCCACAGAGACGTCAGAGCCAGAGAGCAAGGTGTGACCACCCAAGGCCTGCATTCTTAACTGCCACACTGTGTGGGCCTTGATTGGGAGGGTGGTGGAGGCCAGTGAAGGCTGCAGTGCACACGGTGGTAGGGTAGGAAGGAGTGGGGGTGAGGTGTGAAGGCCACCACAGTGGGGAGACAGAGGCTGGGACCCACCTGGGGAAGCGCCTGCTGGTGGAGCATGCCCAACCTCAGCAGGCTGTCCCAGAAGCGCCGCACCGTGAGCCCCACGGACATGCAGGGTCCCGCAGCCCGCGCGGGGGGCATCATCTGCTCTGAGCCAAGGTTCTCCAAGTAGCTCATGCAACTTTGAAGCAGTAGCAGGAGCCTGCGGGCAGAGATTCCAGATTGCTGGGGCCCTGGCTGGTGCCCGTGTACCCTCAGACCATACAACTGCAGCTCTGGCTCTGGGGAAATGGCCCAGGCATCAGGGACTCGGAGAGTCTCAGAATATGCTCTGCTGGACCAGCTTCAAACCTAACCCAGGGGCTGCTTCCTCCAGGAAGTCATCCCTGGCCATAATCTCTGCTTGGGAGCTTCTGCTGGGTCTCCTGGGTGGCACTTCTGCCTGGCTCTTCTCCACTGGACCAGGGCTCTCTGTGAAGCTGAGCCTGGCCTTGCCTCAGTTGTATCCTGAGTCCTTAAAAAGTGCTAGGTGAACAGCTGCCCTGCATCCAGAGACCCAGAGCCTCCACTTGACAGATGACAGAGCTGAGACCAGGAGAGGGGAGGAGCTTGCCCACAGCCATAGGTTGATAAGGCAGAGTGGGGTGTTTGCACAGTCTCCTGAAGCTAGTCAAGGGCTTCTGCAGGGTGAGCTGCTTCTGTGACAGTGGAGACCTGCATCACAACAGCTAGGTCTCTGTCCTAACCTTTAAGTTCAAAATTAGTCAGGCATGAATTATAAAAAAATGCAATATTATAATAAAAAGCTAAGTTTGCATTTGCATGGGAACCAAGCTATTTTAAAAAAGTATTGTGTTGACAACACACACCAGGAAGATAAGTGAAATTAGCTTGTTGCAGTTGCAGCGAGGTCATCCCAAACCCTGTGGGGCCTTGGGTAGAGATGGCCTGGGGGAGGAGGTGCCAACTGCCTCCAGGCCCTGCCCATCTCTGGTCAGTGTGTCCTCCTCTGCAAACATGGACAGCAGCACTTGCCATGGTGCCAGGCAACACCGGGGAACGGGGATGCACCTGAAAAGAGGACACATCATGACCCTGACAGAGCAATCCGTCTGCCCAGACCGACCGACCCTAGCAGTGGGAGACTGCGGTGCTGCTGTCTGCAGCCTTAGCCGTGATCCCATCCCTGCCATGAACTGAGCAGCTCAGTGCTACACCATATGGTGGAGGCCAGTGCCCCAGACTCCAGGGTTCATAGGCTGGTCTAGGTCTCACCCAGCAGCCTTTGCCAGGAGTTACTTATACACACAGGAGCCCAGAGGAGGTTTTAACTCAGGCAGAGGTAGGCAGAGGGGTCAGGCAGGGCAGAGGGCATGTCAGCGACAGCTTCACAGAGAAGGGGGTGGGTAAACCTAGCCATGACAGATGGGCAGGGCATTCCTAGCAGAGGGACAGTGTAATGCATAAAGTCATGGAGGAAAGGAGGTGTGTTCTGTGCTCATCATTCAGCCACTCAGAGGTTACAGATGGTGCTTTTGTACCAAGGGCTCCTCCAGGCCTCAGAGTGGCTCCTCTGTCCCTGAGCAGATCATCCTGAAACCACTGAAGACTAAAGTCCCTCTCATATTCTCTGTCACCTGTCTGGTCTTCATGGCTTTAAGGTTGGTTTTAGGTTGGGGTTTTTTTTTTTTTTTTTTTCAGACAGTCTTGCTTTGTTGCCCAGGCTAGAGTGCAGTGGTACAATCTCAGCTCATTGCAACCTCCAATTCCCAAGTTCAAGCAATTCTCCTGCCTCAGCCTCCTAAGTAGCTGGGACTACAGGCGTGCACCACCACGCCCAGCTCATTTTTATATTTTTAGTAGCTTCCCAAGTGGCTGGGACAATAGGCACACATTGGCTGGGCACAGTGGTTCACACCTGTAATCCCAGCACTCTGGGAGGCCAAGGTGGGTGGATCACCTGAGGTCAGGAGTTCAAGACCAGCCTGGTCAACATGGTGTAACCCTGTCACTACTAAAAATACAAAAAATTAGCCAGGAGTGGTGGCAGGCACTTGTAATCCCAACTACTGGGGAGGCTGAGGCAGGAAAATCTCTTGAACTCAGGAGGCAGGGGTTGCAGTGAGCCAAGTTTGTGCCACTGCACTCTAGCCTGGGCAACAAGAGTAAAACTCTGTCTCAAAAAAAAAAAGGCATGCACCAACACACCCAGCTAATTTAAAAAATATTTTTGTAGTAATGGGGTCTCCCTTTGTTGCCCAGGCTAGCCTCGAACTCTCAAATGATCCTCCCAATCAGCCTCCCAAAATGCTGGGATTACAGGTGTTGGCCACCATGCCCAACACACCATGTCATTTTTTTTGTTTGTTGTGTTTTTTATTGAGACAGAATCTTACTCCATTACCTAGGCTGGAGTGCACTGGTGTGATCTCAGCTCACTGCAACCTTTGCCTCCCACATTCAAGCGATTTCTCATGCCTCAGCCTCCTGAGTAGCTGGAATTACAGGCATGCACCACCATACCGCTAATTTTTGTATTTTTAGTAGAGACAGGGTTTCACTGTGTTGGCCAGGGTGGTCTTGAACTCCTGACCTCAAGTGATCCAGCTGCCTTGGCCTCCCAAAGCACTGAGATTACAGGCATGAGCCACCGTGCCCGGCCAACCATGTGAACTTTAGAAGTGATGGAGCTGCAGGAGAATCCACGAGGCTCTTCCCAGAGGGTTATGATTTGGAAAAATGCATCCTGTGTCTGGCCTTGTGATATGCAGAGGGAACAGCACAACCCACAGGACAACAGGAAAGAGAGCCTGGGATGGAAACTCTGAGAAGCAACTATGGTGTCCTGGACACAGAAACCGTGAGGAGGCAGCTGGGAGTGGCTGAGAGGCCCAGGTCCCAGCTGTGGTGCAACAGAGACCAATGGAGTAGAAACGAACTGCCTGAGGTGGACAGGCTAGGCTAGCCTAACACGGCATAGCACAGCACACAACACAAGACACACGATAAAAGGTGAGACCACTTTGAAAGTCCAAAGCCGATGTGGCTCCAGCAGGTACTCAATGCTAACTGTGTTACCAACATCACCCCTGCCTCTGGAGGGGCTACCGCAGCTGCCACTGTTTTCAGGGGCAGGTACCAGCATCCTGAGATGACCAGGTTTGGTCAAGGCCCTCACCTGTCGATGACCAGCTCCAGCAGCACAGCATGGGACAGCTGTGTGAACTCGGGGTCATCAGGAACATGGTCATAGTGCTCCAGCAGGGCCACCATGTCAAGGTCACAGGCCACACGATCTGGGAACTTCCAGGAGGGAAAGCGCACAGGCCCAGTGTGGGAGAAGACGTCTACGATGGCACCCTGCAGGTCGGTGAGGTCCTTGCGCAGGCTGTCCATACAGGCCTGGCTGCCCAGCAGGTGTGCCATCCTCACAGCTCCTAGGGCGAGCACAGAGGAGCCCTGCCAGCCAGAGCCATGTGGCTGCTGCTGGAGGAAACTCCCTGAAACCCTGGGTAGGCTGAAAAGTCTACCCCAGACCCTGGGAGAAGTCTGTTTCCCAGCCCCAGGTGACAAGGCCTTTCAGACCTGGTTCTGAGTGGCCTCACCAGCTTCTCAGTCCCCCTACCCCGAGGACATACTGCAGAGTACATCACTCCACAAGTCCTTCCTGAGGGCTTATATATGTCAGGTCCCGTGCTACTGGCTGGGTGGATTCAGCTATGAACAAGAATATGCCTGCTGTCCTTTCCTCCCAGAGTGAATCCTGGAACAAACAGGGCACACACAACTGAAATAGAGTTACAGCTACAGCATGATGGGGAGTGTTGGGCCACACCAGGCCACTGTCATCTCCTGCCTAGACCACTGCAGCAGTTTCCAGCTGGGTCACAGGCCTACCCTCTCCAATCTGAACCCTCAGCTCCAGAGACCTGGACCAAACTCTATTGGATCACGTCACGCTGGCCACAATGCCTCAGTACTCCCTTTAGCCTGCGGAAGAAAAGCCACCTCCAGACACCTGCCTGCCTCCAGCCTGAGCAGAGGGCATTCTTCCATAGTGCTGGCATCAACAGAAGAACCTACTGTGTACCGCTTCCCTCAATCTCCCTCATTTCTACAGAGGAGGAAACTGAGGCTCTGAAAAGTTAGGGAGCTTGCCTGAGGTCACTCAGGAAGCTGAGATTCTGAGTCCACAATCTCTGCTCTGTCCTCAGGCCATGCTACTTCCAGAGTAGCAGTGCCCAGGAGAAATATAACACAAGCCACACATGAGATTTGGTATTTCTACTAGCCACTGATGGGCTACAGGAAATGGTACCCCAAAATATGGCACTTTGGAAATGCAAAGAACTGCAGACGCAGGAAGGCCACTCTCATCTTCCCCTCATCCTTCTTCCCTAAAGCAGGCCACCAGGAAGGTCAGTCTGTGACCTCTCCCTTCCTTCTCCCCTGAAGACCCTCATGTGACAGGTGTCCTGCCCTATACCAAGATGGGAAGAAATGTCACACAGGGATACCAAGAAGAATCTGAGAAAACAGCCCTTGCTAAATCTATTCCCTCCCTCATTTATTATTATTAGATCGTATCTTTTCTTTTTTTTTTTTTGAGACAGAGTCTCACCGTCACCCAGGCTGGAGCGCAGTGGTGCAATCTCGGCTCACTGCAATCTCCGCCTCCTGGGTTCAAATAATTCTCCTGCTCCAGCTCACTATAACCTCTGCCTCCTGGGTTCAAGCAATTCTCTTGTCAGACTACTCCTGTAGTCCCGGGTAGCTGGGACTACAGGTACACACCACCATGCCCAGCTAATTTTTGTATTTTTAGTAGAGACGGGGTTTCACCATATTGGCCAGGCTGGTCTCCAACTCCTGACCTCAGGTGATCCACCTGACTTGGCCTCCCAAAGTGCTGGGATTACAGGCTTGAACTGTAATCCCGTGCCTGGCCAGATCATACCTTTCAGTCCACCAATCACAATTCTGAATGACTATCCATGAAAACACAGATCTACAGGCCGGGCGTGGTGGCTCACGCCTGTAATCCCAGCACTTTGGGAGGGTGAGACGGGAGGATCACGAGGTCAGGAGTTCAAGACCAGCCTGGCCAACATAGTGAAACCTCTTCTCTACTAAAAATACAAAAATTAGCTGGGCATGGTGGTACGCGCCTGTCATCCCAGCTACTCGGCAGGCTGAGGCAGGAGAACTGCTTGAACCAGGACCCAGGAAGCGGAGGTTGCAGTGAGCCAAGATTGCCCCACTGCACTGGAGCATGGGGTACAGAGCAAGACTCTGTCTCAAAAAAACAAAAAAACTAAACAAAACAAAAACCCAAAAAACACAGATCTCCTTGTTTCTTTGGGTTTTCATTTCTGAAGGTTTCCATGTCAGGAGAAACTTTTATTAAATAAATTTGTAACCTTTTCTCTTGTTAATCTGTTTTTAAATTTTATTTCACTTATTTATTTATTAGAGTCAGGGTCTCACTTTGTTGCTGAGGCTGGAGTGCAGTGGTGCTATCATGGCTCACTGTAACTTCAAACTCCTGGGCTCAAGTGATCCTCCCACCTCAGCCTCCTGAGTAGGTAGGACTACAGGTGGGTGCCACCACACCTGGCTATTTTTTTTTATTTTTTGTAAAGACAGAGACTTGCTGTGTTGCCCAGGCTGGTCTTGGCCTCCTGGCCTCAAGTGATCCTCCAGCCTTGGCCTCTCAAAGTGCTGGGATTATAGGCATGAGCCACCTTAATCTGTCTTTTATTAAACCTGTGATGGGTGAGGAAAACATATTACTTTCTCTCCCCTACTAACCATTTCAAAGTTCAAAAGCCACATCGGCTGGTAGCTATTGTACTGGATGGCGCAGAGGGTCAGATGCTGTGTGTGCATTCACCAAATGAGGACTGAGCATCTGCTCCATGCCAGGAGGCACTGTGTCAAGACCAGGAACACAGCAGGGCACAAGCAGCCCTGTCCTCCAGGAACTACCGATGATATCTGAGGGTCTCTGCAAGGGGTAAGCTTGTGTGTGCCAGTTTCACCCGTGGGATATCACCCAAGTGATATGTGTCTGCCCCATGACACTCACAACACACATGCCCACATCCTGCACTCCTGTTGTCTTGGCAACTGCCTCTCATGAGCTGTTGCTGCCCAAGAGATTTTATGTCTCCAAGGAGGGAGGCAGAAACAAAGGGAAAATAACATAGGCAAGTGTTCTGGGTTTCCTTCCTGGAATGGGCATGAAGAAAATAAAGCAATCAAGAAGCCCAACCTGGAGGAAGCGTATTCAGGTGGCAAAGGACCTGGAATTCATAAGCCTGCTTGTGAAGGCACCAGGAAACACTGATCTGCTCATCTTCAATAACTACAGCTGCCATATGAGGCCACCTTGGATATCAACTCCCACTAGATCTTGGTTCAGATAACTAGCAGTAAATTACCTTACGTTGTTTCTTCTGAAAATTGAGGTCATGCAGATGTAAGTATGGTTTAAGTACTTAGGTGCTGGGTGCAGTGGCTCATGCCAGTTAACCCAGCACTTTGGGAGACCAAAGTGGGTGGATCACCTGAGGTCGGGAGTTCAAGACCAGCCTGACCAACATCGCAAAACCCCACCTGTACTAAAAATACAAAAGAAAAATTAGCTGGGCATGGTGGTGCGCATGCCTGTAATCCCAGCTACTAGGGAGGCTGAGGCAAGAGAATCGCTTGAACCTGGGAGGAGGAGGTTGCAGTGAGCCAAGATCGCACCATTGCACTCCAGCCTGAGCAACAAGAGCGAACCTCTGTCTCATGTGAAGACATGAGCAATCTCTGTAATTCCTGGGTCTTGAGTGGAAGACTCAGATACTGCACTGTCGCCATGACCACACAGGTGACAGCAGTAACTGAGCCCATATGGAGGAGTAGCAGCTAACTCTGCCTCTCCTCAGTTTCCTGGGGCTCAAGGTGGATTTTTGACTCCCAGAGGAGAGAGGAGCCTTTCTTACTCTTCCATTCAACCTTCAAGCACCTTCTCTCTCTCTCTCTCTGAACTAGTACCCTACCCCTACTGAAAGATTATGCCTACTTCCCAGCCAGGGGGCCTGCTGAGATTCAAAGCCACCACCATGAAAACACGGGAAACTCTAAAACCAGCTATGTGGCAAATGTCAGTCTCAAACATGACACTGTTAATTGCCTGGATCCCTGGGGACACTGAAGGGACTGAGTGAGGACAAAAGAGTAACTGCACTAGTAGAGTAAGAAGCCTGGCTTGAACTTGCATTCCTACTCTACCAACTCCAAACCTCACTATCCTCATTTGTAAATATATTGCTATAAAGAATAAATGGGTCTGTTTGCACTGTTGCTGCTCTTCGTAGGCACCTGCTAAATTTGTATTTAATGTTGTTTTGTTTTTGTTTTTGTTTCTTGAAAATGAGAGAAGAACTGGAGAGATGATTTTTATTAATTTTTTTTTTTACTATTTATAGCTTTAGATGGGGCCTCCACTTCCCTCTTCTTTGTTGTCTTTCATTAAACCCCTTCCCCAGTTTTTTAAAAATAGTTTAAACCCCCCTCCTGATGACCTTGGCCCTTTCTGAAGCTGCTTCCTCTTATAAAATAGCTTTTGCCGAAGCATAGTTTTTTAGCAGATCCCAAAATATAATGAAGGGGATGGAGGATATTTGTGTCTGTGTTCTTATATTATTATTCTTCTCTGGTCCTAGAAAAATAGATAAATATATTTTTTCAGGAAATAGTGTGGTATTTCCAGTTTGACGTTGCTGGGTGCTCGAGTGAATTTTCACGTGGCTGGGTGGGTTTTTGCCCTTTTCTCTCGCCCTGTTCCTGGTGCCTTCTGATGGGGCTGAATAGCTGAGGTGGATGGTTCTACCCTTTCTGCCTTCTGCTTGAGACCCAGCTGGTGTGCTTTGGTTTGTTTTCTTCAAGCTCTAGCCTGTGCTATTCAATACAGTAACCACCTTTGGCTGTTTAAAGTCAAGCTAATTACAGTCACATAAGATTAAAAACTCATTCCTCAGTTGCACTAACCACGTTTCTAGAGCTGTCACCCTATGTGGCTCATGGCCACTATACTGACAGCAGAGAGCACGTCCATCTATTGGACAGCACTGTTCTAGAGAACTAAACTGGCTTAACAAGTCACAGCCACAGCTGCGCTGGGACAACCCTCGTCTCCCTGGGTAGGGGAAGGGGGAATGGGGGAGGGCTGATGAGGCCCCAATTGGGGCCTGTTGTCTGGGACCCTCCCTCTCCTGAAAGGGGAGGCCTGGTGGTTTAGCCTGGGCAGACGGTGTCTCTTCCTGACCCCAGTGGCTGGGGTGAGGGGAGCCACCTTTCCTTGCTGCACCAGTGGCCATTAGCTCCCATCACCACCCCAACCGAGGGTCCCAGCTGGCTGGATCCTCTTCTGTCCCCCAGTGCCCTTTCCCCCCTGGGCTGAGTTGGAGTGAGCACCTCCTCTGTAGGCACCTCTCACACGGTTGTGTTACTGATATTGTTTTTGATAAAAAGATAATAAAACCTAGTACTTTCTAAAAAATAAAAATAAAAAAATAAAGAATAAAGGTACTACATGAAGTGTATTGGCTCATAGTAAGTGACCAATACATCCTAGCTATCATTATTCTACATTAATAAGAACATTGAGGCACAGTGGTTCACACCTGTAATCCCAGCACTTTTTGAGGCCAAGGCGGGTGGACCACAAGGTCAGGAGTTCAAGACCAGCCTGGTCAATATGGTGAAACCCTGTTTCTACTAAAAACACACAAATTAACTGGGTGTAGTGGTGGGTGCCTGTAATCTCAGCTACCCGGGAGGGTGAGACAGGAGAATCACTTGAACTCAGGAAGTGGGGGTTGCAGTGAGCAGTGATTGTGCCACTGCACTCCAGCCTGGGCAACAGAGTGAGACTCCATCTCAAAAAAAAAAAAAAAAAAAAAAAAAAAAAAGTGACATACAGCTATGGTGTGTGAGGGAGGGGGAAGGCTTGAAAGGCGAGGAAACTAAAGTCCAGGCACAGGTTCGGAGCCAGGTCCCTGCTTTCCGGGGTTGAGGAGGGGAGGAAGGAGAGAGGGGAATCTTAGGAAAAGGTGAGAAGCCGGCAGGATGCCAGGTAGGCCTCTGGGGAGTGAGGGTAGCTTGCAGGGCCGCACCTGTGAGAGTGAGATGTGAAGCCTAAAGCAGCAGTACTGCGGTGGCGGCTCACGCCTGTAATCCCAGCACTTCGGGAGGCCAAGGCGGGAGGACCGCTTGAGCACAGGAGTTTGAGATCAGCCTGAGCAACGTAGGTACACGTCCTCCCACGTCCCTACAAAAAATTTTAAAAACTGGCCGAGAGCAGTGGCTCACGCCCGTTATCCCAGCACTTTGGGAGGCCGAGGCGGGTGGATCATTTGAGGTCAGGAGTTCGATACCAGCCTGACCAATATGGTGAAACCCCGTCTCTACTAAAAATACAAAAAAATTAGCCGAGTGTGGTGGGCGCCTGCAGTCCTGGCTACTTGGGAGGCTGAGGCAGAAGAATAGCTTGAACTCGGAAGGCAGAGGTTGCAGTGAGCCGAGATTGAGCCAGTGCACTCCAGCCTGGACGACAGAGCCAGACCCCGTCTCAGAAAAAAAAGTAAAAGAAAGCAGCAGCCTTGATTTGAGAGGGAGGCCCCGGGGGGCTGGATGGGGGAACTACGAAAGGCAGAGGGTGGAAGCAAAAAAAGGCAGACCCATGGGAAAAGGGAATTAAGGAGGTAGGATTCGGAAGAGGGGCTTGGAGGATGTGAAATGAAAGAGGGGACTATGGGAGTAGGGAAGTGGGACTCTGAGGCGGCGAGCCTGAGGGGACCCGGGCTCTCCTAAATAAGGCCAATGGGAGGGAGCTGGGCTCTTGGGAGGCGGGGTCGAAGGGAGAGAGGCACTGGCCTGTGGAGTAAAGGAGCCGCGAGATGAGTGCAGCGGGGGTCGGGCGGGTGATGCAGAACATCTCACCTGCCTTCAGCTTAACAGCTTTAGCCTCTGTGTCTGGTCGGCTCCCGAAATTGTACCCAGCACGCCTGCGGCACCTGGGATCCCCGGAAAGCCCTAGCGTGGCCCAGGCCGTTGCCTTGGCAACGGCTGCGGTGCCAGCGGGGAGGGACGGGAAGCGTGCCACGGCGAGGGGGAGGTCCCGGAAGTGCGTCAATCTCACCTTCGCGGTCACAACTCGCTCGGTCGCCGCCATCTTGCGAGCTCGTCGTACTGTCCTAGAGGGAGGGCTGCCTTGAGGCGGCACCCCTCACCGACACCGAGGCGGACTGGCAGCCCTGAGCGTCGCAGTCATGCCGGCCGGACCCGTGCAGGCGGTGCCTCCGCCGCCGCCGGTGGCCACCGAGCCTAAACAGGTACTTCTCCCCCAGCACCTCAGCCTGCAGCCCGAGCGTGGGCCTGGGTGCTCCTCACTCGCGTAGGAATAAGCGGCCGCTATGAACGGCTTGGAGGGACTGCAAGTCCCAGGAGGCTGCGTGCTTTGCGCGCTTCTGGCGCTACGGTGCCGTTCTGGTAGCGAAAGGAACCGTCCTGAACAGGGTTCTCCAAAGTGGTCCGCGAGTCCGCAGCATCGGCAAGAGCGTGGAGCTTCTTAGAAAAGCGGAGTCTCCGCCCTAGGCTTTTTAAATAGGAATCTACATTTGAACAGAATTCTAAGGTGATTGATTAAAGTGTGAGAGGCAGTGATCATTTGATCCTCTGAGAAGATCCTCTGATCTGTGGCAGTTGGGGCCACTGGCCCCAGCCTTTGCCTAGTAATGCCTAATTTCTCAGCCTGCACGGTACGTCTTTGGATGTTAATTCTCAGAATCTGTTTAGGTGTCTGTCCCAAGCCAGACACTATACCAGGCTACCACGTTTACCGGAATGAATGGGGCACAATCCTGTCTAGGGAGCTCAAAGGCTAACGGGAAGGCAGACATGCGAGAATGCTCACCAAATTTTATTGTCCTCCCGATGACCGCCAACCCGCCCTTAAAGCTCTCCAATCTCAAATGTGCATAAACCATTGTAGTATGGTGTGATATGCTCTGTGATAGAAGTTTCAGGTACAAATCTAATCAACATTGCTTGCCGGGGTAGAAGGGATATTAAGGTAGGGGAAGCCCACAGGAGTGAGAGGTAAATTCCTTTTTTTAGAAGAAGGAATAGGCCAGGCGTCGTGGCTTTGGGAGGTCAAGGCGGGTGGATCACGAGGTCAGGAGTTCAAGACCAGCCTGATCAATAAAGTGAAAACCCATCTCTACTGAAAATACAAAAATTAGCCCGGCGTGGTGGCGCGAACCTGTAGTCCCAGCTACTCGGGAGGCTGGGGCAGGAGACTTGCTTGAGCCCAGGAGGCGGAGGTTGCAGTGAGCGGAGATCGAACCACTGCACTCCAGCATGGGTGACAGAGTGAGGCTTCTCTCTCTCAAAAAAAAAAAAAAGAGTGGGAGTTCGTCAGGTAGGTGACTAGGGAAGGGAAATAGCATCCTTTATTCATCCAGCACATATTTATTGAGCACATATGCTGATCACCGCTTTGGGTTCAGAATAAGGTGGGGACATGACTGAAGAAGCCATGCCTTTTCCACAGATATTTAAGTGCCTGTGTGTCCCTGGAATTTTTCCAGGCATTGGGGAAAAATAAGGTAATGGCCAGATATTAGGCACAAAGACACTGAGGTAAGAATCAAACGATGTGTCTAGTCAAGAGTAAATGAAGAAGTGTTGAAGGATAGACTTAGGAGAGTGGTGGCAGGAGATGCGATTCTTACTTAGTATTTGAACTTTTCTTTGCAGACAGTGGGAAGAAAAGAGAGGGTTTTTTTTCTAGTCAGAAAATTCATCCATGATTAGAAAAGGGAGGGTTTTAAACCAGATAGTGACATTTGTGTTTCAGAAATTCAGGTAGGCAGACGTGGAGAATCACTAGGAGGATGGAGGTCAGTCACACTATTCAAAAGAGGCTGAAGGCCTGGCCTAGATTGGGGCAGAGGGCGGTGGGCAGGTTCTTCAGCCAGAGTGATATGTTAGAATCCTGGTTCTGCCAGTTGGACATAAGCTCTCCGTCTCTCAGTTCTGTCATCTGTAACGGGAAGATATTAAGAGTACTTGGCCTGGTCCGGTGGCTCACACCTGTAATTCCAGCACTTCAGGAGGCGGAGGCAGGCAGTCACTTGAGTTCAGGAGTTTGAGACCAGCTTGGCCAACATGGCAAAACCCTATCTCTACTAAAAATAAAAAATTAGCCATGTTTGATGGTGCACGTTTGTAATTCCAACTATTCAGGAGAGAAATGCTTGAACCCAGGAAGCGGAAGCTGCAGTGAGCCAAGATCATGGCACTCCACTCCAGCCTGGGTGACAGCAAGACTGTCTCCAAAAAAAAAGAAAAGAATACTTAATCTCATAGGCTTCTTATAAGGTCTGTAAGAGTTAATATATTTAAAGTACTTGGGAAAAATACCTAGGATCTACTCTGCTTGATAAAAAAATTGTTTTATTTTTATTTTATTTTATTTTGAGATGGAGTATTGCTCTGTCACCCAGGATGCAGTACAGTGGCATGATTTTGGCTCACTGCAACCTCCACCTCCCAGGTTCAATCGATTCTCCTGCCCCAGCCTCCTGAGTAGCTGGGACTACAGGCGCCCGCCACCACACCCAGCTAATTTTTGCATTTTTAGTAGGGATGGGGTTTCACCATGTTGGCCAGGCTGATCTTGAACTCCTGACCTTGTAATCCACCTGCCTTGGCCTCCCAAAGTGCTGGGATTACAGGCATGAGCCACCGCGCCCGGCTAAAATTGTTTTATTAAGAGATGGGGTGTTAGGCTGGGCGTGGTGGCTCACGCCTATAATCCCAGCACTTTGGGAGGCTGAGGCGGGTGGATCACAAGGTCAAGAGATGAGACCATCCTGGTCAACATGGTGAAACCCCGACTCTACTAAAAATACAAAAAAAATTAGCTGGGCATAATGGCATGTGCCTGTAGTCCCAGCTACTCAGGAAGCTGAGGCAGGAGAATCGCTTGAATCCAGCAGGCGGAGGTTGCAGTGAGCCGAGATCGTGCCATTGCACTCCAGCCTGGGTAACAAGAGTGAAACTCCGTCTCAAAAAAAAAAAGAGAGAGAGATGGGGTGTTGTTCTGTCACCTAGACTGGAATGTAATGGTGCGGTCATAGCTTACTGCGACCTCAAATTCCTGGGCTCAAGCAGTCCTCCTACCTCAGCCTCCTGAGTCAGTGGGATTATAGGTGCAAGCCATTGTGCCCAGCTTGATAAATATTATTATCACTGAGTGTGGAAGCTGAGGAAGAGAGAGGAGCTCCAGCTTTCTAGCGTGGATGACTGGTTAGCTACTCCTGAGGAAAGAGGTTAGAGACGAAAGTGCCCAGGAGTCAGCTGGACCCAAAGCTGTTCGGTACACAGGAGTGTTCTGGGACATTAATTTGGGCCAGATGGTTTAGCCTATAGGCACTAGGGGGAAATGGAGGACACTGGAAACAGAAGAGAACCAAGAACAGAATTGGGCGGGGCTGGGGGTAGTGGGAATCACCAACTTTATAGAGCAGGAGGTGAAACGGGGGCTAGGGAGGAAACTTGAATGGAATGATGAGAAAGAAGGGAGGAACAGAAGAACGGGGCCTGGGAGTTGAGAGTGTTGTGAAGGAGTGGTCACCATTCATGCCCAGATAGTGGCGGTGGATGGCTGTGAGCAGTTGTTTTTGACTTTGTCAAGAGCACTTAAAATGAGTGGGGACCAAATGTCAGGTGAGGAAGTGAGACTAGCAAGACTGAAGAGAACTCAGGATGTTTAGCTGCCAGAGGAAGGGGTGGGAGAGGGCAGTGGCAGAAAGGAACATGAAGTTAGAGGAGAAACTTCATTTTTCTAAGATAAGAGACGACCCTTTGTTCGCTAAGGGAAAGAAGCTGCTGGAGAAAATACTGGAACTTATGGGATAGTTAATGCTGAGCATTTCAGTGGAGGGTCACAAAACCTTTGTGCATTGAATGGTGGTTAAGGTGTGGAACAGAGGCAGAGAGAGAGGGCATTCAGGGCAGAAGAAGCTGTCAGCAAATTATTTTCCATTTCTTTATTCAGCAAACAGTCATTAAAAATTCCATGCCAAGCCCAGCACTGGGTGCAGGGTTACAGACAAGGCCTGGATTCTGCAATGGTTTCTCAGGATGTAGTCTGAGTCCCTGCATCTGAATCACCTGGGCATTTGGTAAAAATGCAGATTCCTGGTCTCACTGAGACAGTTCAGCTAGAGAAGAGCCAGGGAAGCTACTCCTTACCCTGGGTCCCCAGGAGCATCCCTTGCAGGTGCAGTGAACTTAACAGCTTTTCTGAAGCAGAGGGTCCTAACCAGAGGGAAGTCTGAGTGAAAGTCTACCCTGACTGATGTCCTAGAGGAGTTTCACAGTGGAGAACCTGTGCCGAACCAGGGACTTGAAAACCTTCTTTCTTTTCCTGTTTTCATAGCCCATGGAAGAGGAAGCGTCTTCAAAGGAGGATTCTGCACCTTCTAAACCAGTTGTGGGGATTATTTACCCTCCTCCAGAGGTCAGAAATATTGTTGACAAGACTGCCAGCTTTGTGGCCAGGTAATGGAGCTACTTGGGTGGGTCAGAGATGGGTTTCAGCATGAAGAGGTTTCAGTGCTGAATCAGCACAAGGGTTTTTAAAGACTTGGGCCTTTTAGTTCATAAAAAAACCACAACATGGGAGTGGATTGGGCAGGACTGGTGTCCCTGACACAGCACAGCGATGGCCAGAGTGAGAGTCACACTTAGCCCCTGCTAAGTGTCACCAGGAGCCTCTGCTTCCAAAACTGGCCTGAGGAAATGTCTGGAGAGCTACTTCGTCACAGATGGTGTGCGTCTGTGCCTGAGCTGCTGGCCTGAGGAAGATAAAAAGGAGAATGTGTGCAAGGCCACATTCCAAGAATGACCCATCTGCAGAATGGAACAAAATGCCATCTCAGAGTTGTTTATTGTGAGACAGAAGCGAGGTCATGGGACCGCATGCCAGTGCTAGCTGTCTTCTCAGATGGAATGGGAATTGCTCCGAGTTCCTCCTGTCTCTCCCCACTGTACTTATACTCACATCCTTAGATGGAATTTTTTTAATGGCCCCTCGACTCCAAAGGTCAGTACATCCTCTAGGGTATTTAAGGTATTCCTTTGGCGGCCCTCAGGTCATGTCCAGCCTACAGATGTTTTGCTTGTCCTCACAGTAATTTTTTCAATATTCAAATTTGTTGCCACTATTTAAAAATGAGGAGGCCAGGTGCTGTGGCTCTTCCCTTAATCTTAGCACTTTGGGAGGCCAAGGTGGGAAGATCACTTGAGCCCCAGCAGTTTAAGACCAGCCTGGGCAACATAGCGAGATCCTGTCTACAAAAAATAAGAAGTTGTTTGGCTGTGGTGGCATGGGCCACCACATGGTCCTAGCTACTCAGAACGCTGAGGCAAGAGGATCAGTTGAGCCCAAAAAGTTGAGGCTGTAGTGAGCCATGGACTCCAGCCTGGGCAGCAGTGAAACCCTATTTCAAAAAAAACAAAACAAGTAAAAATGAGATTTCACAATCAATATGGATTTCTGGACAGCTCCTTCGTGTGTGGAAGCAGGTTCAGGCAGAGTATGTGCTCTCCAGGGACCCAACGTCACTCCCCTGAGGCAGTGCCTCAGTCAGTATAATCATTTAACGGTGTTCCTTCCTTTCCCAATCTGATGAAATTAAACATAAAGATCAATAAAGATTACTTTGGTTAGACCTTCTTGCCTTTTTTTTTTTTTTTTTTTTTTTTTTTTTTTTTGAGACGGAGTCTTGCTCTGTCACCAGGCTGGAGTGCAGTGGCGTGATCTCAGCTCACTGCAGTCTCCACCTCCTGGGTTTAAGCGATTCTCCTGCCTCAGCCTCCCAAGTAGCTGAGATTACAGGCACGCACCACCACACCTGGTTAATTTTTGTATTTTTAGTAGATACGGGGTTTTACCATGTTGGCCCGGATGGTCTCAATCCCTTGACCTTGTGATCCGCCTGCCTGGGCCTCCCAGAGTGCTGGGATTACAGGCATGAGCCACTGCACCCAGCCTACTTTGCTTAGACTTTCGCTGTGGCAGATCTGCAGATTCATCTCATTACATTTCAGCGGCTTTGATTAACCTGGGTATTAGGTTGAAAGCTGCTCCGTGCTTGATTGAACATTATGATGATGATGGTGATTGGGTCATGTCAGATTTAAATGGTAAAGTGTGTGTTTAAGATAAATGTTTAATGGCTCTTAGCAATGTCATGCTTCCCCTTTTCCCCTGATATTTTAAAAGCAGAATATACAGAAAAGAGGTGTTGGGTTAAAAATCACCATATTCTCATTACCAGAATAGTTTCTGCCAGCTGTTTTCACTTTTTTCTGTTTCCTTCTGTCCTTGACATCCTTTTTTAGATCCTTGTAATATTAGCAAAGATACTTTCACATTTCACTCTGTGTTTCTGCCACCACACTCAGCTAATTTATTTTTTTATTTTTTGTAAAGATGGGGTCTTTCTGTGTTGCTCAGGTTGGTCTTTAACTCCTGGCCTCAAGTGATCTTCATGCCTTGGCCACCCAAATTGCTGCCATTACAGGCATGACCACTGCACCTGTCCTGTTCCCAGTATTTCATTTTGGCAAATGAAGCTGTGGGGAAATCTCTGAATATTTTCTTTCCTTTTTAGATTGTTTCCTTAGAAACAATCTTATCATAACCTTGTTATCATAACCTTGTTATGTTAAGAAAATTCTGTGTGGCTCATTATTGGCTGAAAGAGCATCCTTAAAAGATTTCTTAAACATTTTGCCAAGTAGCTTTCCAATTTTGTGCCATTTTCAGCTGCTGAAGAAATAAGAGTACGTTCAAGTTCCCTTAAAAATAAATATCTGTGAGGCAGGAGCAGGGCTGGGAACCAGGTAAAAAAAAAAAGAAAAAAATCAATCAGTGAATCAATCAATAATTGTGACCAGCCGGGTACAGTGGCTTACACCTGTAATCCCAGCACTTTGCGAGGCCAAGGCGGGCAGATTACCTGAGTTCAAGACCAGCCTGACCAACATGGAGAACCCCTGTCTCTACTAAAAGTACAAAATTAGCCCAGTGTGGTGGCATGTGCCTGTAATCTCAGCTACTTGGGAGGCCGGGAGGCAGAGTTTGCAGTGAGCTGAGATCATGCCATTGCACTCCAGTCTGGGCAACAAGAGCGAAACTCTGTCTCCAAAAAATAAATAAATAAATAAATATGACCAGGTGAGGTGGCTCACGCCTGTAATCCCAGCACTTTGGGAGCCTAGGGTGGGAGGATCACTTGAACCCAGGCCTTGGAGACCAGCCTAGACAACATAGTGAGACCCCCTTCTCTACAAAAAATTTAAAAAATTATCCAGGCATGGTGGTGCATATCTGTAGTTCTAGCTGCTCGGGAGAATCACTTGAGCCCGAGAGGTCAAGGTTATGATAATGCCAGTGTACTCCAGCCTGGGTGATAGAGCAAGACCCTATTTCAAAACAAAACAAAAAAATACCAAAACCATGCACATCCTAGATTGGTTTTTAGCTATGGTGATTGCTTTTGTAGACATTTCTAAAATCTGTGAGCTGGATGTGGCTCACAGATTTTCCAGCACTTTGGGAAACCGAGGCAGGCAGATCGCCTGAGGTCAGGAGTTCGAGATCAGCCTGGCCAACATGGTGAAACCCCATCTCTACTAAAAATACAAAAATTAGCCAGGTGCATGCCTGTAATCCCAACTACTCAAGAGGCTGAGGCAGGAGAATCACTTGAACCCAAGAGGCAGAGGTTGCAGTGAGCTGAGATCATACCACTGCATTATAGCCTGAGCGACAGAGCAAGACTCCATCTCAAAAATAATAATAAATAAATAAAATCTGTGACCTTATCATTTATGTTGCGACAAAGAGACAGACCAGTATCTGAGTTAAAGCAGGCATGCAGAACTCTGTGCTTCACTTCTCCTAAGTTCACATATATTTATGGAGCATGCAGTAGAAATCCACAACTGAGCCATTTTCCAAAAGGAGTTTTTTCACTAGGTTAGGCTTATCATTTCCTGCATGTTCCTGTCAAGAAACTGAAGTGGAAATTACCCTTAAAAAGTCCCACCAGCTGGGTTGATTCAGAATTACGTCTTTTACTGTTGAAATCTATTCGTTGTGGTAGAGAGTATGATTCTAAAATTAACGTTAAGATAATTTAAAGCAACAGAATAGCTTGGAATGAACCTTCTCATTGTTTTATCTTTGAGATTGTTCCCAGTTGGGGGTAAAGTTATGACTTAGGCAGTGATACAGGAGACGACCAGGGCCCCTTTTTCTAGGAGCCCTTTGTCTGCCCAAGGCATTTGCTGGGTATAGTGGTCTAGCTTAGCAGGATTAAAGCCTGCTTTCACCTTCATTCTTATGTGTGGTTTGCATTATTCAAGGAAGGGGGAGAATTTTTTTTCCCAAAGCATGAGGTTCCAGTTGGACTAATGCACTGTCAAATTGAGACCTCATGGTATTAGTTACACTGCAGGCTATGACCAGGACTTGCTGAGGAGCCAGCCTGGGTTTTGGCACACATTGCTGTGGTGCCTGATCTGGGGCACAGCACTGCCTGCACCATGTCTCCTGTGTCTCTCTTAAATTTAAAAAAAAAGAATTTTTTTAGAGATGGAGTTTTGTTTTGTTGTCCAGGCTTGGATATGATCTTCTGGACTCAAGTGATCCTCCTGCCTCAGCGTTCTGAGTAGCTGGGACTGCAGGTGTGTGTCACTGTGCCAGGCTCCCACCCCCTCTTAACTCATGGGGCAGGGATGTGAAAGTCTGAAGCGAGTAGAGCCAGCCGGCTGGCACCAGATGCCAGGGCTATGCCTTGATGTGTTTGGGGCAGCTCCGAGTACAAGGTTCTGGCCAGAGGAGCAACGGAAAGCCCCACAGACATCTCACACTCAAATCATCTAAAATGTTGCTGGAACAACCCGTCCTGGCCCCTTGCATTTGCTCGCTACTGTATGATTTGAAAAAACTTTGAGGGCCAGGTTCAGTGGTTCATGCCTGTTATCTGTCACTTTGGAAGGCCAAGGTAGGCATATTGCTTTAGTGCAGGAGTTTGGGACCCACCTGGGCAACATGGCGAAACCCCATCTCTACAAAACTGTAAAAAAATTAGCCAGGAGACTGAGGTGGGAGGATCCTAGGAGGCAGAGGTTACAGTGAGCTGAGATTGTGCCACCACACTCCAGCTTGGGTGACAGAGTGAAACCCTGTCTCTAAAGCAAAACAAAACAAAACAAAAGACTTTGGCATCTCCTCAGTCATAGTTCAAGGTAGAAAAGGAAACTGGTGTTAACTACTTTTTACATAGGGGGAAATGGAAGCAATGAGTAGTTGGTAACTTGCTCTGGTTAAGAGTGAGTCAGTAGTGAACCTGAAACTTGAATGTGTTCCTATCCTGTGTCTTTAAGATTTGTGTGTTTTCTGACTGACACAGGTGTTGTATGTAAGCGTGGCACTTTGAAGGATTACCATTGAGACTTTATAAAAATCAGGGTTCCCTAAACAACATTACGGGGATATTTTTTCATTATCCTGAGGTATTGAAGGCTTGCTGGGGACATGGGGGATATCCGGGGAACCATCCCAGATGCAGACAGTGGTGGGAGGCCTCCCTGCTGATCTTACCATACCCCTGTCGTCTGAAGGTACCTTATACAGCTGTGCAAGCCTGGGTCCTTGCTGTGCATGTTTCCCCTGTGGGCCTTACCAGTATTACGGAGTAATTTTAGGCAGTACTTGGACAAGGCATTAAACCAAATAATCTGTTTTTCTGTTTTTGTTTCTTATAGACAGGGTCTTACTTTGTTGCCCAGGCTGGAGTACAGTGACACAGTTCTAGCTCACTGCAGCCTCAGACTCCTGGGTACAAGGGGTTCCTCCCACCTCAGCCTCTTGAGTAGCTGGGAATACAGGCACACCCCCCATGCCCAGCTAATTTATTTTTTATGGTTTTTTTTTTTTAGAGATAGGATCTTGCCTTGTTGCCCAGGCTCAAATCATCTAAATTTTCATGTCTTTCAGTCTTTCTCGTTACTCAAAGGACAAAGCCTAGGTTTGGTGCTTATGTACCTTTTACATCTCTCCAGTACTTGCTACCCCTTTGAACTAAGAGAACTAGTCTCAGCAAACTTCGAGCTAAACTTTGACAATATTACTTTATTTGCATTGTATTCACTTTTGACTACCTTTTGTGGATAAAGGCATACTGATTTTTAAAAAAATTTAAGTGGTAATATGTACCCTCCATTTTAAATAGATTTTTCTAAGTAAATAAACTTTATTAAAAGGAATGAGCAATAGCCTAAATGGTTTTGGAAATGGCAGAACTGGAAGAAGAGCTAAGGAATGACTGAGTTCAGGAAGACCCTGTGGTAGAAATGGCCTAATTGAGGCTGAATGAGACAGATGGCACTGATTGTCAATGCCAGGAGGCTGGAGGAGGATGTCTGCTCTGCTGAGGGCTGGGCTGGTTTGAGCAGTGGGTGGTGGCAAGAAGAGTGTTCAAATGGGCAGTGTTCTGGATCTCAGCAGGCACAAGGGGTGTGGTGTTAAATCTTCCTGTTTTTCCTCCCTCCAGAAACGGTCCTGAATTTGAAGCTAGGATCCGACAGAACGAGATCAACAACCCCAAGTTCAACTTTCTGAACCCCAATGACCCTTACCATGCCTACTACCGCCACAAGGTCAGCGAGTTCAAGGAGGGCAAGGCTCAGGAGCCGTCAGCTGCCATCCCAAAAGTTATGCAGCAGCAGCAGCAGGCCACCCAGCAGCAGCTGCCCCAGAAGGTTTGGAGCCCAGCCCCACCCCGCCTCACTTACGCAGGGCCGAGAGAGAAGCAGGGATAGGGAGGGGGTACACAATTAACTCTGCTATCCAAACCTCACAACCACCCAGGGAGAGAAGTGAGGTCATCATCCCCATCTCACAGAGGCAGGCTGAGGCCCAGACCGCAAAGTACTGATGATAGTTGGTGTGGCCCGAGCACTGCTTGTCAAGCTCTGCGCTTTACTTCAGGAGTCTTGTCTCACTGACTCTTCACAGAGGCTGTAAAAGGAATCTGAGAGTCGGGGGAAGTGGGATTTGTTCCAGGCCTTGCTCAGGGTGTGAGGGCAGTGCCATGATGTGTGAAGGACTTCCTACTTGGTTGTGCTGAAGGGCAATGTGGCCTGTGTGATCCCTTCCCTTCTGTCTTCTTCCCAGGACCCCTCCATCTGCCCTCCCCTAATACCACCCTCCCTGTGCTGAGGCCCAGCACTAGGGACTGTTAGGGTTATGAATGAAGAGAGAGGCTGGCGTGTTGTTCCTCCTGTCCAGACCTGGGCTGTTCCCTTCGCTTTTCTGCACTCCTGAACCGTGGTGGAAAAGACAGCCCCTCCTTTTGCAGTGGGATAAAGAGGCTGAAGTCAGGTTCTAAGACCTTGCATTGCAATATACTACTCCTAGGGCCTCAGGCTACCTCGGTTTCCTCATCCATAAAGAGGATTCACAGTACCTGTTCTGTATCATGCTTCATGCGGAGGTCATGGAAACATTTTGTACAGTGGGGTTCTCTGCACACATACAGGCCTTACTGCACTTCTATCCCTCTTGGATGGGTTTTTTTTTTTGAGACAAAGTCTTGCTTTTGTACCCCAGGCTGGAGTGCAATGGCATGATCTTGGCTCACTGCAACCTCCTCCTCCAGGTTCAAGCAATTCAACTGCCTCAGCCTCCTGAGTAGCAGGGATTATAGGTGCCTGCTACCACACCCAGCTAATTTTTGTATATTTAGTAGAGACGGGGTTTCACTTTGTTGGCCAGGCTGGTCTCGAACTCCTGACCTCAAGTGATTTGCTCGCCTCGGCCTCCCAAAGTACTAGGATTATAGGCATGAGCCACCGTGCCCAGCCTTGGATGGGATTTAATAAGCCATATTTTTGTTGGATCTTCTGTCATCCAGTTTTACCTCTCTATTTCAAGGGAGGTGCAGCAGAGATACAGAGGGGCATGGTTCTCACTGGAGCCATTCATGGAGTTGAGGCCATAGTTGACTGGCAACTCAGTGCTCTTAGAGCACTGATTTAGAATTCTCTCACACCAAGTGCAAGTGGTGCATACATAATCAACAGAAGTCTAGAGGTTCATAGCCGTCCTGCTGAGGGGTGGGTGCCCATGCCTCCTCCCCTCCTCTAGAGCCTGTCCACCTCTGTGCCTCTCACCTCATACTCCCTTTGCATCTTAGGTCCAAGCCCAGGTAATCCAAGAGACCATCGTGCCCAAAGAGCCTCCTCCTGAGTTTGAGTTCATTGCTGATCCCCCCTCCATCTCAGCCTTCGACCTGGATGTGGTGAAGCTGACAGCTCAGTTTGTGGCTAGGAACGGGCGCCAGTTTCTGACCCAGCTGATGCAGAAAGAGCAGCGCAACTACCAGTTTGACTTTCTCCGCCCACAGCACAGCCTCTTCAACTACTTCACGAAGCTAGTGGAGCAGTACACCAAGGTACCTGGGCAGGGTGGGGCTGGGGTCCTGCGCCCAGGGAAGGAAGGCATCTTACCCTTGGAAGCACTGTGTCCACTCACTGTCTACAAGGACATCGCTTCTCCATGGGGCCTCTGAGCAAACATTATGAATCCCAGTTTGATGTAAAATCCTGATTTCTGTTCAGTTATTTCTTTAAGTGCAACACAGACTGCGTGTTTCCAAAGGGAAGGGAAACACGTGGTTGCTAAGTACCGTTAGGCAATTGCCTGCTGTGTGACAAGGCCCAGTCGTGCTTGCTGCTTCTAAGTACATTTCCATTTTCGGTTGCCTAATAAGGCCCTAAGAAGAAGCAAGCCTTTAACAGTTGCCTCATTTTACCTAATTTAGTCCTCACAAGAAGCCATAGGTAAATGTTTTTTTTCCCCATCTTTCAGAAGCAGAAACAGGCTCAGAAAGATGAAATCACATACTCTAGGTCTGTCAGCTAGTAAATAGCTATGCTGAGATTTAAACCACATTTGACCCTAAAACTTTGGTTCTTCAGATTATAAAGTACCTTAAATTGGAATAGCATTTAAATAGGCATTGAGAGACACTTTGATGTGATATAAGTCAGTATACCTAATGTCACTAAGAAATTATATATGCAGCATCTTCTCATTTAATCTCCAGTAGCTTATAACGTAGTCACTATTGTTATGTTCACTTTATAGAAGAGAAAACTCAGGCTCAGAGAAGTTAACATGGCCAGGGTCACATAGCTAGGAGGTGACAAGCTTGGGGTTTGAGCTCTGGCATTTTTACTCTGGACTCTAAAAGCTCAATTACCATGTGACAGAGCTGCAATCAGGACTCTGGACAAGGCTGGGCGCAGTGGCTCATGCCTGTAATCCCAGCACTTTGGGAAGCTGAGGCAGGCAGATCGCCTGAGGTTGGGAATTCGAGACTAGACTGGCCAACATGGTGAAATACTGTCTCTACTAAAAATACAAAATTAGCTGGGCATGGTGGCGCATGTCTGTAATCCCAGCTACTCAGGAGGTTGAGGCTGGAGAATCTCTTGAACCCAGGAGGCAGAGGTTGCAGTGAGCTGAGATCGCACCATTGCACTCCAGCCTGGGCAACAAGAGCAAAACTCCATCTCAAAAAAATAAAATAAATAAATAAATAAAAAAGAATCTGGACAATTCAGTTCTGGCATTTAAAATAATCAGAATATAGGCCAGATGTGATGGCTCTCGCCTGTAATCCCAGCTCTTTGGGAGGCCAAGGCGGGCGAATCACCTGAGGTCAGGAGTTCGAGACCACCCTGACCAACATGGAGAAATCCCGTCTCTACTAAAAATATAAAATTAGCCAGGCATGGTGCTACATGCTGATAATCCCACTTACTTGGGAGGCTGAGGCAGGAGAATGGCTTGAACCACCCAGGAGAGGAGGTTGTGGTGAGCCGAGATCACACGATTGCACTCCAGCCTGGACAAGAGTGAAACTCCTTCTCAAAAAAAAAAAAAAAAAAGGCGATTTTTAATTTATTGCAGAGTGTGCTGGTATAGCTTTTCCTGTGGCATATTTTTCTTGCTACATACATCGTAGAGGTTGTTTTTCTTCCCTTTTCAGTGGGATGGTCTGTACATCTGTTCTTGATGTCCAGAAACAACACCTCAAATATCTGACTTGATAGGATTTCCTAACTTTACTCACTCTAAGTATATAATTAGGAAAAATTGTAAAAATGTGTGTGTTTAGAAAATGACAAATCCAGAAGATAGTATGGTAGCTAAAATAACAATCACTGAAGGTCCAAGGCCAAAGGGTTACTTTAAATATACAATATCAATTTTAAGTGAGCACTGGATTAATTTCTCCCAGTGGACTGCTTCCAGGGTTAAAGGTCCCATATTATTTTTTATTCTGTTACATTCCTATTTTTTTTCTTCTTCAGAATTTGGGTATTGGCATTTACCACTCTAACTTGAGAGTACTAGTGTCTGTTTCTAGCCATGGAAGACTCTGAGCAGATAGATTCTTGGGGTAGAGGTACAAGGAGAATTGGAATAGGGCTGAGCCACTTTGCCAGTGGCAGTAGAAGCTGTTGGGGCTGTTTAGAACAAAGGTTGCATTTGTTCTCTCAGTAAAAAAAATATCGTCAGACATTATTCAGGGTGCTAGAGATGTAATCATGAACAAAAGAGAGAAATCCCTGTCTTCGTGGAGTGTCTAGTCTAGTGAGAAGTCAAGTGCAATGTTAGTGTCTGTCAGATCGTGCTAAATACTGTGGAGAGAAAGAAAGCAGGAGGCAGAAATAGAGGTGGGGCAGGTAGGCTATGGTTCAGAATAGGATAGTCAGGGGAGACCTGCGTAGTATTTTCAAAGGGATAAGAGCAGGTCAGTCTCATGAAAGCAGCTGTCTCATACTGACCATGTTCTAGGTAATCTGCTAGTGCTTTGCGTGCTTTCCTGCTAATCCTTAAAGTAGCCTTTTCAAGTTCATGGTGCCAGCTTTGGTGGTGCCACTATTTTGGAGAAGGAAATCAAGTTACTGAGGTTAAGTAACTTGCCCCAAGTCCCACAGCCAAGTAGAACTGGAATTGGGACACAGAATCCCATGCTTCTCATCTCCTGTGCTTTATCACAGGCCCAGGAAGGTTGCCTCTTTGTCCCGCCTTATAAAGCACTGACAATTGCTTTAACTCTTCTGTATTTCAGATCTTGATTCCACCCAAAGGTTTATTTACAAAGCTCAAGAAAGAGGCTGAAAACCCTCGAGAAGTTTTGGATCAGGTAAACTGAACTGGATTTCTTGCAGCTAGTTACTGATGGTGGGTTCTGTTTTATGTTTGAACATAGACTCTGCAGCAGTACCTTGTTATGTTCCAGTCACGGGAATGGTGGGGAAACAGGCCTGGCTGGCTACAAAGTCCAAAGAAACCTGGAGTCCACATGCTTCCCAACGTATCACAACTTTCTGCTTTGCTCTCAGCCTCAATATGTCTCCTTCTTTTTTACTCTAGCTAGAAGGCAGAAGGCCAGCTCCCAAGCCAGTCACAGGGTGGAATTTCCATTCTGTCCAAACTCGGTGTGGGTGGAACCAGGTGCAAATACCATAGTTTGGAACCATAGTTCCATTCTGTTTTGAAGGAGGCGCTGGCTTTGCTGAAAGCACTGAAGGTGGTGGCCTCATCGGGAGCAGACCCTGCTTCAGCTTAGCACCGAGCTCTTTCCCATCCCTGCAGGTGTGTTACCGAGTAGAATGGGCCAAATTCCAGGAACGTGAGAGGAAGAAGGAAGAAGAGGAGAAGGAGAAGGAACGGGTGGCCTATGCTCAGATCGACTGGCATGATTTTGTGGTGGTGGAAACAGTGGACTTCCAACCCAATGAGCAAGGTGGGTCTGTGAGGAGTAACACCAGATGGGAGCCAGGAATTCTGAGACTTCCTGGGAGACCTTGCGCAAGTGTTGCCAGAGAGCAGCAGAATCTCTCAGAGGACTTTATCAGTATCTGTTTCCTCTCTGCTCCCAGAAAACTTCATTTCTACCACTTTGCCCAAGATAGATTCAATACGTACTTGCCAGACCCTAGATGGGCCTCTGGAGATAGCTGGAGAGAAAACAGACATAGCTTCAGCCCTTGGAGAGCTCAGACAGGGCTAATAGATGGGTCTTTGATAAGGAATGCCTTTGCCTCTGGCTCCCTCTAGGGAATTTCCCACCCCCCACCACGCCAGAGGAGCTGGGGGCCCGAATTCTCATTCAGGAGCGATATGAGAAGTTTGGGGAGAGTGAGGAAGTTGAAATGGAGGTCGAGTCTGATGAGGAGGATGAGAAACAGGAGAAGACAGAGGAGCCTCCTTCCCAGCTGGATCAGGACACCCAAGTGCAAGATATGGATGAGGTAAGCTGCTGGGTGGGCCTGTGGGATGACCTTTCTCCCTGAAGACCCTGGAGATAGAAGTACTCTCCACCAGTCAGATCCAACTCCATTGTGAACCTTGAAAGGAGGCGTGGGTCCTGAACAAGGCAGTACAGCTGCTCAAGCCCAGGCCACACAGAGCCTCTTTCCAGCTCCAGCAACAAAGATTCATTCATAGGCAAGGATCTAAAAGCTGTGTCGACCTGTTCTGTGGCCGCCTTCCTGGCTTGGACACTCTGCTCTCACTGCCTCATGCCAGCCCTCAGCTAGGGAACTCTCTGCATGACCCTATTCTGTTTTGATCTCTCAGCTGGGCTCCAAGCTCCCAGAACTCTTGTAAATGTAGCCCACACTTCCTTTCAGGCATCCCTGCCCCCTTCGAGCCAAGCAGGCATGGAGTCTCCAGAACCAGACTGTTCTCCCCAGCTCGGAAAGAATTTGTGCACAGCCTGAGAAGAAAGGGCCCCTGTGTCTGTGGGAATTGACTTTTTCTCTCCCTCCCAGCATTGCTGTCTGAGCGGCTACCATTGATTGCCGACTCCCCCCTCCACTGCCCCCCACCAGCATGTTAAGTGCCCTTGGCCTCTTGGGACTGCCTGGTGCCAGCTGCTGGAAGTGCCTGGGAGGAGTGCTAGGACCATGGCCCCAGCGCTCCCATTCATACTATGAGGAAGCCACTTGGCCTGCTGCCGGCTGGCCTCAGCTGCCCTGGGAGGCTTAGCACATGGATGCTGCCTGGCAGAGGCCAAGGCTCCTTGCCACCCAGAGAGCTGCCAAGCTCAGCTATAGGGAGGTGTCCTCAGGCCCCCTCTGAGTCCTGCCATTGCTTTGCTTTTCAGGGTTCAGATGATGAAGAAGAAGGGCAGAAAGTGCCCCCACCCCCAGAGACACCCATGCCTCCACCTCTGCCCCCAACTCCAGACCAAGTCATTGTCCGCAAGGACTATGATCCCAAAGGTAGGGTCTGCTTCCCTGCCCTCAGGCTGACCAGGAAGGTCCTGTGTGTCCACGTGTGTTCCTCACACCTGTCTTTCTAGGAGGGCTTGAGGCACAGCTTATTGTAAAAGCATTGCCAGCCCGTCTGTTAGAGGTTTCATGGTGGGGAACAGGACCCAGTCATCCCTGGTGCCCTAGTGCCTTTCACAGTGCCACGTACAAGAATGACACTGAATGGATGCCTCGATGAATGATATATGAATGAAATACCACCCACTTAACCCTGGTGGCCGTCCACCAGTGTTCTTACTGAAACATGTTTCCTTTTAGCCTCCAAGCCCTTGCCTCCAGCCCCTGCTCCAGATGAGTATCTTGTGTCCCCCATTACTGGGGAGAAGATCCCTGCCAGCAAAATGCAGGAACACATGCGCATTGGACTTCTTGACCCTCGCTGGCTGGAGCAGCGAGATCGCTCCATCCGTGAGAAGCAGAGTGATGATGAGGTGTATGCACCAGGTGAGGTGGGGGTTCCAGGAGAGGTCATGGTAATCTCCAAATTACAGTCAGCTGTTTCTGAGCAAACATAGAAAGCAACAGTTGAGGTCAACAAAAGCGTTTGAGGAGAGAACCCCCGACTTTCCAGCAGGACTCCCCAGAGGCAGACACTGAAGGAGATGACATGTGCCTATTGACATCCCAGAACAGGCTCAGGCTTTAGCTGAGAGGGCTTCCTGTGGCTGTTGAGGAGAGCACTGGTGGCTGGAGTACCCTGAGCTGCTTGGAATGGGGCAGGAACTGTGCCAGAGGTGGGAGACTGGGCTTCTAGTTTTGATTCTGCTGCTTAACACTATGTGGCCCTTTGCACACAGTTGCCCTCTCACCATCCTTTTCATTTCATTTATTTATTAATGTATATATTTATTTGAGATGGAGATTCACTCTATCGCCCAGGCTGGAGTGCAGTGGCGCCATCTTGGCTACTGCACCCTCTTCCTCCCAGGTTCAAGTTGTTCTCCTGCCACAGCCTCCCAAGTAGCTGGGATTATAGGCACACACCACCACACCTGGCTAATTTTTGTATTTTCAGTAGAGACGGGGTTTCACCATGTTGGCTAGGGTAATCCTCCCGCCTTGGCCTCCGAAAGTGCTGGGATTATAGGTGTGAGCCACTGTGCCCAGCCTACCATCCTTTTATAAGTCAGAGGGGTTGCACAAGCACTGGGTTTATCGGCTTAGTACCAATAGGGCAGCTTTCCCCAAGCCCAGAGGAGAAGAGTGCTGTGTTGGGGCCCCAAGTCACCCTCATCCCGTGGAACCAGCCTCCACCCTGCACACCAGGAAAGCTACTCTTTTGTCAGGACACCTGGTTTAGTTTCTCTTTCTATCTTCTGCCTTTCTTTTGTGACTGTACAGGTCTGGATATTGAGAGCAGCTTGAAGCAGTTGGCTGAGCGACGTACTGACATCTTCGGTGTAGAGGAAACGGCCATTGGTAAGAAGATCGGTGAGGAGGAGATCCAGAAGCCAGAGGAAAAGGTGCGGCTAAAGTGGATCCTCGTGCCTTCTCTGCACTCTGTCTTCCACACTTGGGCTTAGTTCCAGGAGCATTGTGGCTTTGCTTTCACTTGCAGGTGACCTGGGATGGCCACTCAGGCAGCATGGCCCGGACCCAGCAGGCTGCCCAGGCCAACATCACCCTCCAGGAGCAGATTGAGGCCATTCACAAAGCCAAAGGCCTGGTGCCAGAAGATGACACCAAAGAGAAGATTGGCCCCAGCAAGCCCAATGAAATCCCTCAACAGCCACCGCCTCCATCTTCAGCCACCAACATTCCCAGCTCAGCCCCACCCATCACTTCAGTGCCCCGACCACCCACAGTAAGCCAACATCTACCCTGCAACTGACTTTTTAGAGCTTGGTTCTTGAGGTTGGACACTGTTGGCTGAGAGGGTAACTGTCTTATAGTGGGACCTGAATGTTGGGTGGGTCAGTTTGAAAGAGAAAGAGCCCTTTAAATGCAAGTGGGAACCTCTAGCTTCATCTATTTGTGGAGGAGGATAGGAGCAGGGAGGGAGGTGAGTGGCAAATGTGAGAAACCAATTTGCATCAGAGGAGGGCTGTACGACTTATTGGGTCTTTAAGGACTGCTGTCCTGTCTCCAGGAGGCTTAGTCGAGGTCTCAGCCTCTGAAGTGCCTCTCTCAGTGTTTGCCACAGCAGCTGGTTGAGTTTGACCCACGAAAGTCCCAAGTGAAGAGAGGGTGTCACCCTGGGACTTTCAGCAGCTCAGTTCCTATTGGATGCCCAGTGTAAGGCCACAGTTCCTCAACCCCAAGGGACCAGGATGGAGCTGTCTAACCTCCATCCTCAGAGCTGCAGGTGGCCAGTTGCCAACTGTGTGTGCCCTTAGAGTCCAACTTTGGCTTCCTTTAACTTGTGGGTCTCTTTCCTACACAGATGCCGCCTCCAGTTCGTACTACAGTTGTGTCCGCAGTACCCGTTATGCCCCGGCCTCCAATGGCATCTGTGGTCCGGCTGCCTCCAGGCTCAGTGATCGCTCCCATGCCACCCATCATCCACGCACCCAGAATCAACGTGGTGCCCATGCCTCCCTCGGCCCCTCCTATCATGGCCCCCCGCCCACCCCCCATGATTGTGCCAACAGGTCAGTATCTCTTGCGTCACTTTCCAGGCCATTGGGTCAAGGACCACAGGCCAAGTACTGTCAGCAGAGCAGTGGCTAATGCCTAGTGCCAGCTGTTCCAGCAGGGAGTCCAGCCCCGAGGAGAGCCGTTGCTTCCCATGTGAAGGATCCAAAACCCTAGAGCTGGGAGCCACAGTTCCTGGTAGAAATGGGAGGCTGAAATGGTGTAGCTGGTGCCTGTGCATTCAGGGGTCAGGTCCCCGACAGGCTCAGAGGCCTTGGAAATGCTTATTATTGCCTGGCACTAGCTCCTTCCATCAGTCCTGCCCTCCTGCACACCTCTGTTGTCCAATCCGGGCAGACTCAGCAGGAACAGCGCTTCACACCTCTGACTAGAGGAAACCTTTGTAAGCTTCCCTCTCAACTTCCCGCCAGCCCTTAGTCCTGGGCCCCTTCAGCCCTCTTATTCTTGTCTTTGCAGCCTTTGTGCCTGCTCCACCTGTGGCACCTGTCCCAGCTCCAGCCCCAATGCCCCCTGTTCATCCCCCACCTCCCATGGAAGATGAGCCCACCTCCAAAAAACTGAAGACAGAGGACAGCCTAATGCCAGAGGAGGAGTTCCTGCGCAGAAACAAGGTATGTGATCCCAGAATGCTGCTGAAGTTTCTAGCTGGAGAGTCCCACCCCTGTTGTACACTTCCCAAACTGAGGGTGTTTCACTCCCAGTCTTACTTCTGGGGCCTAGGTCAGCTATTGGAGGCATCTAAGGGCTTTTGAGCACACAGTGAATGTGGGGCCAACAATTGGAGGAGCAGAGAGCATTAGTGGTGATGGGGATGGTGGTGGTGGCAGAGGTGGTGACTGTAGTGGTCCCCCTGGTGTGGACTTACAGAGGCTAGCAGGGAGAACAACTCATGTGTGAGAGGGACCCTAGACACCTGGAGGAAATTTTGTGTGGTGTTTTAAAGTTTAATACGGCCTTCCTCCCCAGCTTGAGCCCTTAGGAGGTGATTCTGTTGAGCTCCTGGAATAAGGGGAGGTGGGGACCTTGTCACTGCCAATCTCTAGGGAAGCTGTCAGGCTGCAGTAAGGAGGCAGAAACAGCCCCAGCCTCTGCTCCCCCAGAGGTATTTGACCACATTATTTATTATTATTTTTTTTTTACAGCCTCTGCCTCCCTGGTTCAAGTGATTCTTGTGCCTCAGCCTCCCGAGTAGCTGGGATTACAGGTGTGCACCACCACACCTAGCTAATTTTTGTATTTTTGTAGAGACGATGTTTTGCCATTTTGGCCTGGCTTGTCTCGATCTCCTGGCCATAAGTGATCCGCCACTTTGGCTTCCCAAAGTGTTGGGATTACAGGCATGAGCTGCCGCACCCACACTATTTGTTTGTTTTTTAATAATCTCATTTCTTAAGCACTTAACTCAGCTGGGCACAGTGGCTCACGCCTGTAATCCCAGCACTTTGGGAGGCCGAGGCAGGTGGATCACAAAGTCAGGAGTTCAAGACCAGTCTGGCCAAAATGATGAAAACCCAACTCTACTAAAAATAAAAAATTAGCTGGGCCACAGTGGCAGGTGTCTGTAATCCCAGCTACTTGGGAGGCTGAGGCAGAAGAATCACTTGAACTTGGGGGATGGAGTTTGCAGTGAGATGAGATTATGCCACTGCACTCCCAAGCAAGACTTGTCTCAAAAAAAAACCGCTTAACTCAAGTACCAGGATAGAGCTAAATAGTTTACAGACACTCACCTAAGTTCTTCACTTTAGCTCCAGACTCACCAGGAGACAAGATAGAGATTGTTTTAAAGAAAAGAAACTTAAGTCTTGCAAAGGGGGAGTGACTTCTACAACCTCACAAGCGGTATCATTGGTGAATCAGGCCAGAATCTAGCAGCCCAGATTCACCGATGACATTGTCTGGACAGGCCTAGGATAGCAGAGCAGAGTTCCTGATTGGCTCAGGGCTCCCTGGGTATAATGACCACCTCCTGTTTTATAGGGTCCAGTGTCCATCAAAGTCCAGGTGCCCAACATGCAGGATAAGACGGAATGGAAACTGAATGGGCAGGTGCTGGTCTTCACCCTCCCGCTCACGGACCAGGTATTACGAGTTGCTGCCACAAACTGGCATCAGGTGCATGAGAACCAAGAGATCAGGGGAAAGCTTCCTCCAGCCGGCCTTAGCAAGGAGTTGAATGACCTCTGCTTGATTCCACAGGTTTCTGTCATTAAGGTGAAGATTCACGAAGCCACAGGCATGCCTGCAGGGAAACAGAAGCTACAGTACGAGGTGAGTCAATTTGTCCACAGACCTGCCCCTTGGATCCTGACACCTGCTTATACAGAAGCTAAATCTCTCATGGAAACAGAAAGGGGAGTTGAGTGATACCTGGGTATTGCCATCTGAATCCATCCTAGAAGTGATGATACTGGCTGGGAGTGCTGGGGCAGGTGTGCCCAACAGTGCAAGGCTCTGGTGGGGACACAGTACAGTCTTATGTGGGATCTGTAAGAACTTTGCCTCAGTGACTGGGCATAGAGATATAGGGACAAGACTTAGGCATACTCTGGTTCCAGTGATGCTGGTATGACCTCAGGCAGCCCAACTTGGAGGTGATAGTCTAGCCCAGCCTGAAGCCTGCCAGGTCACATGGAGGGATTATGTTCTTCTTATCTAAACTTTAACAAATCCCCACTCTGGGCCTCAGTTATCTCTATAAATTGAGGCTGTTGGACTAAGTGATTCCTAAAGGTCTTGTGATTTCAGAGTCAGAGCTCCATGGGGTTGGTCAGGAACAACTTTTTGGGGAGTTAAGCTTTGAGTCAAATGTTGATAAAGGAAAGGAGCATAATTGGTAGGAAGAAAGCAAACAGTAAGAAGAATGAGAAGCCTCTAATCCCCAGCACACTACTGTCTCACAAGTTCCTGTATTTGCTAAATCCAGAGCACAAATGGACCAAGTGCACAGTTGTAAGGTTGCAGCAGTATGCTCGAGGCTGGATTGCCCCATGCTAAGGCATGCTCTCTGTTTTCCAGGGTATCTTCATCAAAGATTCCAACTCACTGGCTTACTACAACATGGCCAATGGTGCCGTCATCCACCTGGCCCTCAAGGAGAGAGGCGGGAGGAAGAAGTAGACAGGAGGAACCTGCTGTTAAGTCCCTGCCATTTTGCCTCTCACGTCTCCCACTCTGACCCAGACCCACCTGAGGCCTTGGACCCTGTCTGCATATTTGTTTCCCTCTTACTCAGTTTGAGAATTCAAATTGCCCTGCAGGGGTTCATTCCCCTGACCCCTTCCCCACATTGGTAAGAGTAGCTGGGCTTTCTAAGCCACTCTCTGGAATCTTTGTGTTAGGATCTTGATTTGAGGACATTGAGCTCTTCAAGCAGACATTAGCAGCTGAGAGCCCAGGGATGTCCTACAGGATAGTTTCATAGTGATAGGTGGCACTTGGCTAATAGAATATGGCTGTTAATGTCATTAATCATTTTGTACCTTGACATGGATTGTCTAATAAAACTCTTGGACCCTTCTTGTGAAATCAGTTAAATAAGACTTGTGCCCTGTCCAGACTCGAGGCAAAGGTAACACTGCACAGGGCTGTGTGACTTCTCTGCTTTGAGGATTCTGGGGTTTTGTAACTAAATTCTTGCTGCCATCATACTTTTTATGTATTGGAATTATATTCGTATTGCCCTTTTAAAACATTGGGATCCTCCAAAGGCCTAGCCCCGTGTATTTAACAGTATAATACAAAGAAGCATACCAGGCCCCACGACAAACAAGAATACATGGTGCAGTCCCTGTGTCAGTGGGTGGTGGAGACATGTGCAGATGACACTGGAGGTTTCCTGCCAGCCTGGAATCACCCATTCACCTGATTGATTGGCTCTGTGACTCTGGGCAGATGCCTCACAGGTGTATGGATTTGATGAGGTTTCTTTAAAATGTATTTATTTAATAAATACTTAATTGTACTAAGGTAATGTACCAAGGACTTTATAAAATTCAAATAATTTACTATTTTAAGCATTTTATCATTTTAACTCCTGTAATCCTCATGTGAGTATTCCTGTTGAACATGGGTAAACTGAGGCACAGAGATTATGAGTTGCATGCCCATAGTCACACACTTTGAAAGTGAAAAGAGAATGTGTGCAGAACATATCACAGTCCTGATTTCTGAGTAAAGGCAGGCTGTTATCTTTAGAATCAAGCTATCACAGGGAGAGAGGCAATGCTGTGGGTGTTGAGGGAGGAAGATGAGAGCCTGTTGCTAACAGTTTCCTGGTTTTAAAGCTAAGGCTGATTTCACTGGGAAGATCTCACGTGTGTGTAGCCCCTGAGAGTTCCCAGTACCTTTTATTTACAGTTCTTCCATTTGGCCCTCTTAGCTGCCCCATCAGGTCATCTCCAGGGCTCAGAGGGGTGAGACTATTTCCCAAGGTTACACAGCCAGCTCTCTGGTCAAACCCTACTCCTGCCTCCCTGTCAGCTAAGGTCAGTACCAGTTTTATGGCTTTAAAAACTGTTGGGTCCCTCCCATTTTTAAGTTGACTGATGGGATGTCATTCCTTACCCTGTCTGACATTTGCCTCTGGCCTGGTTGCTAGAAGTTTGCCCCAGGGGCCAGAGTTGAAATTTGGCTTCCTGAAGTGGGCTTTGTGGTTTGGGTGCCTAAGTGAGCCCACTGTTGGTTGCCTGTCCATGGCCAAAACCAGAAATCCTCCTGAGCACTACCTGGGTCTCATTCCAAGAAGGAAGGGGGTCAGGAGATCTGGGGAGTCTCATACTCCAAGCTCTCCTTTCTTTCTGGGAGCAGCGGGCAGGTCATGGTGTCAGGGCACTCACCCCCACAGACTGGCAACGCCTGCAGAACCTCTGTGGCTGAGTCTGTGACCGGAGGCCAGGAATGCCGCTGGGTGGAATGTGAGTGAATGGGCCCTTTGAGCTGCCCTCTAGAGAGTGATTCCAGTTTCCCGGAGTTCCTGAATGAACATCTGTCCTGGCTCACTCAGACGCAGAAGCTCCATTGACCATGAGGCCTTGTGAACATCAGTGGCTACAGGCCCAGTGTGCTGCCTGGCACTGCACTGGTTTAGGACCCGCAGCATGTACATAGCATCCTGCTGTTTATAATACAAAGCTGCTTTGCACAGCTCTTCTGATTCTTCTTGTAATCTCCTGAGGATTATCTGCCCCATTTTTAAAACGAGGTAGAATACCCAAGGTCATGTAGCCAGTGAGTGCTCTGGAAAACCAAAGCAGCTCACCCCTTCCTGGAGACCACACTCTGCAATGCTCCACCAGACCACACTACGAAATAGGAATGAGCTCCTGTCGCAGGACTGCTGGGAAAACGGGTAGGGTGGGACTTGACTCAAATCTTAATTTTGAAGACTTGCACACACAGGGCTCCACGAATTGTAGAAACTAATTTCACTTTCAGTTCTACCCACTACTTAAGTACTTGTCATGTACTCTTAGAGGACGCCACTAATAATCAGAACCATTTCACTTTAATATTAATATATTGTATTAGAGAATATATTAAATGCTTACATTGAGTTATGTTAGGATATATACTTGGATGGAAATATGTGTTATACTATTAGCAGTCACTAAAAAATCAGACAAGAAAGCATAATATAGCTCTACTCATGGGTAGAGTACCATAATATAGCTTTACTCATGCGTAGAGTTCCCAGTACCTTCTATTTACAGTTCTTCCATTTGGCCCTCTTAGCAGCCCCATCAGGTCATCTCCAGGGCTCAAAGGGGTGAGACTATTTCCCAAGGTTACACAACCAGCTCTCTGGTCAAACCCTACTCCTGCCTCCCCGTCAGCTAAGGTCACTACCAGTGTATAAGATTTTTAGAAGTTTGCTTTTTTTGTGTGTGACACAGAGTCTCCCTGTGTTGCCCAGGCTGGAGTGCAGTGGTGCAGTCTCAGCTCACTGCAACCTCCGCCTCTTGGGTTCAAGCGATTCTTCTGCTTCAGTTTCCCAAGTAGCGGTCACCACAAGTGCACATCACGCCCAGCTAATTTTTGTATTTTTAGTAGAGATGGGGTTTCACCACACTGGCCAGGCTGGTCTCGAACTCCTGACCTTGTGATCCACCTGCCTCAGCCTCCCAAAGTGTTGGGATTACAGGTGAGAGCCACCACACCTGGCCTAGAAGTTTACTTTTTAAAAATAAAAGCAAAATGTAAGATCTTGGAGTTATGATCATGAAGTCTACCTAATAGGGAGATTTACTCTTAACTATTCAGCATTGTTGCATATTTTAAATTCTTCATTGTAGGATTCTGCATTGTTACATTTTTTAAATTCTGCATTAGAGGCCAGGCACAGTGGCTCACACCTGTAATCCCAGCACTTTGGGAGGCCAATCAAGACAGCTGGCTTACCTGAGGTCAGGAGTTTGAGACCAGCCTGACCAACATGGAGAAACCCCCTCTCTACTAAAAGTAACAAAATTAGGCGGGCGTGATGGTGCCTGCCTATAATGCCAGCTACTCAGGAGACTGAGGCAGGAGAATCACTTGAACCCAGGAGGTGGAGTTTGCAGTGAGCCGAGATTGCGCCATTGTGCTTCAGCCTGGGCAACAAGAGTGAAACTCCGTATCAAAAGAAAAAAAATTGCATTGTTATATAAAAGAGCATTCTGTCTGGTGAGTGTCCTGACACCATGCCCTGCTCGCTGCTCCCAGCATGTAAGTCAACAATTCTAAGTACCCCTGGGTGCTACAATCCATGAAGCAAGACAGGATAAGCTCCTTCTAGGCACAGTGGCACACCTGTAGTTCCAGCTGCTTGGGAGGCTGAGGTAAGAGGATGGCTTGAGCCAGGGAGTTTGAAGTCTGCTTAGACAACATGGTGAGACCTCATCTCTAAAAAAGTTTTTTTTTAAAAATAAAATAGATCATTACAGAGAATACTGTTACTACTGTTGCCTTAAGCTGAATTTTATTAGGCCCATCAGTGTTCCCCTCTCCCTGAACTGATCCTGATGATTAGATCAGGGGTATGCATGTGATACATAAATGTATAATGGGATGTACCTGAGGTCAAGAGTTTGAGACCAGCCTGGCCAACATGATGAAACCCTGTCTCTACTAAAAATACAAAAATCAAGCAGGCCTGGTGGCATGCCTGTAGTCCCAGCTACGTGGGAGGCTGAAGCAAGAGAATCACTTGATCCTGGGAGGCAGAGGTTTCAGGGAGCCAAGATTGCGCCACTGCCCTCCAGCCTGGGTGACAGAGTGAGACTGTGTCTCAAAAAAAGAGTATACTGCGATGTATAAATGGTTGACCCACAAAGGAATGCAGCCTCCTCACCTTTGAACAGAACCTAACAGAAGACTGGTGTGGATGTGTAAGGCCTGGAGCTGGTACCATAAAGGGCACTCACTTGAGGATGAAGCAGCCAGCTGTTCTTGCTACCACTCCTGACAACCATTTACTGTCCAGCTGAAGGAGGACAAAGAAAAAAGGAGGGAAAAAGCAACATGAGCCTATAGTGCTTGTGCTACAACCTCTAGATCAAACTGCTCTTAAAACTTACCACATTGACAAATTGTTTTACGCTATGGAGTGCACTAAGTACAGGTTTGGTTTAAGCCTATTTGAGTGATGTTTTCTGCCACTTGGAATATTAATAAAATAAGCTGCTGGGCACCAGCTGTCTACCTTTTGAGCCTCAACCCTGCAGTCTATTCTGAATTAAAGATATGGCATCTGAGGCCGGGTGCAGTGGCTCCCACCTGTGATCCCTCCCTTTGGGAGGCTGAGATGAGTGGATCACATGAGGTCAGGGGTTCGAGACCAGCCTGGCTAACATGGTGAAAACCCATCTCTACTAAAAATATAAAAATCAGCTGGGCACAGTGGTGCACGCCTGTAGTCCCAGCCACTCAGGAGGTTGAGGCAAGATAATTGCTTGAAGCTAGGAGGCGGAGGTTGCAGTGAGCCAAGATCATGCCACTGCACTCCAGCCTAGGCAACAGAGCAACACTCCATCTCATAAATAAGGCATTTGGACTTTTGCTCATGGCCAGTGCTCACAGGTTTCCTAAGCACATGCCATACACATTCCAGGATCCAGGAGAGAGGCCTATGTGAGCTCCTCGAGCCCAGCTGTTGGGAATGACCCAAGCAAGATGAGACTCTGGGATATCAACACATTCTATCTTCAAAAGAATGTCTACAACAGCCAGTTCACCAGGATGTTCCACATCATTGCCTAAGCCCTCTTAAATTCTGTATTCCAGTGAACCACGTGATTCTGCAGGCATCCTTTTTGATCATTTATTCATTGGCTCACTGCTCCCCCTGATTTCTCACTTCAATCTAACAACACAGCCTGCTTCTTCAAGGGGAAACTTAGCGTCTGCAGCCATGCTTCTTGTATACTATTCTCAGCCCTGCAGAGGAGCTCCCTCATTTTCGGCCCCCACCACCTCCCCAACACCTACTCCAGCATTCTCCATACCTTACCTGGCTTTATTTTCTTATCCTCACTGCCTGA